TTAGCGTGAAGCAGATTGGTGATAGTGACGTGGGGCTGCAACGTACGACGTAGTATTGTTTGATTGACAGGTCATTTAAAATTATTGTGATGCGGTTTCATCTTCTTGTCTTGCTTTCCCACTAATTTAAAACAAAAATAATAATAATATATAGGAAAAAAATTTGAAATTTAACCCAATTGAATTGAATGAATATTCGCGGGTTCCTTTTCGGAATTCAAATCGGATAGAGAGGGAAACATTTTTTTATAGTTTTGATTCTTTCAACAGTCACTTGGATTACTCAAAAAAGAATAAAAAAATAATATTGACTTTTTTTTTTTTTTTTGAGGAAAAAAATATAATAATATTGACTTGGACTGCACTAATTTTGTTGACTTTTCTTATTATAGTGATGATTTTTAAAATATAATTGATTTATTCACCCATTTGAGGTCCAAAATCTGGCCCAGCATGACCCAAACAATATACTCATTAGAGGCCCACATATCAGGTTAATCTGGGCCCACTCCACAATTAATCCAGGTCCAAATCAGGTTAATCTGGGCCCACTCCAGTACAGGCATAATACATTCTGTTACAGGAGTTCATTTATCACCGAAATTTTCCGCCCGTACGGCCTGATTTGCCCACCAAATCAGTCAGCCTTCCTCACGATTTTCTTCGCACAAACACGCACAAACACAAGTCTTTTCAGCCACGTAAACGAATACAAGAGTATGCAGCGGAAATCAAACACACAAACACGTTTACGGGCAATGCCCAACCTTTATATTAATTCCCACAACGAATACAAAGGAGACTAAGGTGCACACACAAAATCCTCACTCAGAATTGCCCAACAATTGCAATCTGAACTCTCATATGCTAGATACCTCGGATTTGTGCACTCATAGCCAAATAAATACAAGGAAAATGTAGTTTTCACATAAAACTACCTAAGGACACATGGCAGCATACAAACATGACACTTGGCCAACTATTACAAGTATAAAGGGGCAGTTTTCATGCATTTCTAGGCCTCAACCGCTCCGTAACTTCCTCAAATCCGCCCACAATGCTGATTTCCGAAGCCCAACTTGACCGGGCGCGCCCGTGCGCGCCAAACGGCCCAAACAGCCCGGCCGGTTGCTAGGCAGCCCATCTGCCTTGCCTTTTCCGCACGTTTGCTTGCCTTTACCGATCACTTGCCAGTTCTTTGCCCACACGGTCATCGGCACGCCCGCTCATCGGGCTGCCTTGCTTGCCTTGCCAATTTTGCCCACACTTGTCAAGTCGTGGTCGATTTCCCTCGAACGTTCGTTTGCCCACGTTATCGGCCACATGCCGATTATTGCCCACGCTTTGTCCGTCTTTGCTGCCGAGCAACGCCCGTGCCAGCCACAAGTACCTTCGATCACCGTTCCCACTTGAATCAAGCCGATCCTTGCTTTTCTCGGCCAAGCACCCCAAATGCTTGCCGAACACTCGACCACTCATTGGCCGATTGTGTGGCTGCCTTGTGCCAATCCCCACTTGACACCATTTATCGGTCATGACTCGGCCACACTCGAGTCATTACCGATATCACCGATTAAGGGGGTAATAGACCTCCCCTACCAACGGTGTTCGACGCCCTCGTCGAACCGACACCATCGGCTTCAGCTTTCCACTTGTCTTGCCACCGTCTTTGATTGTGCTTGAGCACCAGCACCACATCGAAACCCAAAATATCCCAAGTCTGATCCCACGAACATCGCACATATTCTTTCAGCCGTCGGAAAAATGAACGCCGGTCACGTTCAAACGGCAGCACCCAACCACAAGTGAAAATACTAGTTTTTGGCACAACTAGTATTTTATCTCGATTGCCCCGCCAATCAAGAAAGGAGATCACCAACCCACGGAAATCACCCGAACACGGCTTCCATTTCATCCACAACAGAAACCAGCCCACGAAAAACCCAACATGCCACATAAATTCAGAAAATACCACATTTCGAACCCACGAGTTGTGCCACATACGGCAGCAACTTAGAACAAAAGTAAGGCCACAATGCCCATTCATAAGCCCAAATGAATACCTCAACTTGCCTTCGGCCCTTGACTCATTTCTCGGCAATGCACGTACAAGCAAACCAGCCCGAGAATTTACCGTCTTGTTTCGAACGGCTGCAATTAGGCTCGATGACTCCTCGTCGTTCGATTCTGCCTCCAATTGCACCGCAACCAACATTGCCACCGGTTTCTTTTCCGCCTTTGCTTTCGTCACGTACGAGCACTCAACGAAGCATGGACGCTCTTCGTCCATAATCATCAATCCACCGAGAAACGGTATCACCGCAGCCTTGGCAGCAAGTAGGAACTCTTGCCCCAATATCACATCGAAATCATCAAGTGGTACGGCAGTTAATCCGCACTGCCCTTTCTAAGAACCGATCACTAGATCGACATCGGTTCTGCCTCTCACCGGCCCCGCGTCTGAATTTACAGCCTTCACTTGACTTGCATGTTTCGAGAGAGTCAAGCCCAGCTTCTTGACTTCTCTCTCGGCAACGAAGTTATGAGTTGCCCCCGAGTCAACCATTGCCTTCACTTCCTTGCCATTGATCAGCACCGAAGCATACATCAAGCCCTTGGTGCCGTTGGGTGTCTTGTCCACGACCAAAGCACTCAACAACTGAATCGGATTCGCATGCCTCGTCTCGTCCGAATCCTCTTCACTATCCGACTCCCGCATCAAAGCATTCAACTTGCTCCTCTTCGGACAATCCCTCATTCGGTGGTTGCCATCACATAGAAAGCAGCCACGGTTTTGTTTGTTGACGACGGGCTGTCCACCGGTCTTGGTTTGCACCGCGGATCCTTCGCCATCACCGCTCTCTTTTTGCTTCCAATTTCGGCCACCCTTGCCACCGAACTTCTTCCCTTTGGACTTATCCTTCTTCGAGCCTTCCTTATCGGAATCATCGGCCCCCATCACCTTGTAATCGACAAGTCGGTCCGCTGCCGAGATGGCACTTGGCAGATCCTTCACACCTTGTCTCCGCAACTTGGTTTGGGCCCATGGCTGCAATCCAGCCATGAAGTTGAATAACTTATCTTCATCGGACATGTCTCGTATGTCAAGGAGCAGAGAACTGAATTCCTTGACATACTCCCTCACGGTTCCCTTGTGCTTCAATTGCCGAAGGGATTCCCTTGCAATCCAGCCCACGTTGCAATGTAGGAATTGATCTTTCAACTCCCGTTTCAGCACCTCCCAAGTCTCGATCTTCACTCGGTTGGCACTTGCATCATCTGATAAACGAGCACGCCACCACAATTTTGCATCGACCACAAGATACATACTTGTAATGGTCACCTTCTCGCGATCCGGAACCTTTGCAGCCTCGAAGTAATTCTCCATATCCCACACGAAGTTTTCGACTTCTTTGGCGCTGCGCACACCATCAAACGCAGTCGGTTCCGGCACACGAACTTTGGATCCCGATGTTCTGCCCTCAGAACTCGATCCTTCGTTTCGAACAGCCCTCTCAAGTACCGTCAAATCAGTAAGCATCCCATCAAGCTTCGTCTCAACGGCATCAACGAGAAGTCCCATCTCCTCGGCAACGGACGTGAATCTGCTCTCCACAAATTGAGGCAGATCGTCCAACGATCTTGACAAACGATCGATATCTCGTTTCCCATCAGCGAGCCTTTGTAAGATCGGTGGATCCGTTGGATCTAGGGGCGGCCCAACCAAGGCTTCAAGACGTTGCAGCCTTGATTCCATATCTAGCAACATCACACGAGTAGGATTTGGATTTGTCGAAGATCCAAAATCTTCAGCCATGCCGAACAGCAACACGTTCAGAACCCTTGAACCGGGCTCTGATACCAACTGTTACAGGGGTTAATTTATCACCGAAATTTTCCGCCCGTACGGCCTGATTTGCCCACCAAACCAGTCAGCCTTCCTCACGATTTTCTTCGCACAAACACGCACAAACACAAGTCTTTTCAGCCACGTAAACGAATACAAGAGTATGCAGCGGAAATCAAACACACAAACACGTTTACGGGCAATGCCCAACCTTTATATTAATTCCCACAACGAATACAAAGGAGACTAAGGTGCACACACAAAATCCTCACTCAGAATTGCCCAACAATTGCAATCTGAACTCTCATATGCTAGATACCTCGGATTTGTGCACTCATAGCCAAATAAATACAAGGAAAATGTAGTTTTCACATAAAACTACCTAAAGACACATGGCAGCATACAAACATGACACTTTGCCAACTATTACAAGTATAAAGGGGCAGTTTTCATGCATTTCTAGGCCTCAACCGCTCCGTAACTTCCTCAAATCCGCCCACAATGCTGATTTCCGAAGCCCAACTTGACCGGGCGCGCCCGTGCGCGCCAAACGGCCCAAACAGCCCGGCCGGTTGCTAGGCAGCCCATCTGCCTTGCCTTTTCCGCACGTTTGCTTGCCTTTACCGATCACTTGCCAGTTCTTTGCCCACACGGTCATCGGCACGCCCGCTCATCGGGCTGCCTTGCTTGCCTTGCCAATTTTGCCCACACTTGTCAAGTCGTGGTCGATTTCCCTCGAACGTTCGTTTGCCCACGTTATCGGCCACATGCCGATTATTGCCCACGCTTTGTCCGTCTTTGCTGCCGAGCAACGCCCGTGCCAGCCACAAGTACCTTCGATCACCGTTCCCACTTGAATCAAGCCGATCCTTGCTTTTCTCGGCCAAGCACCCCAAATGCTTGCCGAACACTCGACCACTCATTGGCCGATTGTGTGGCTGCCTTGTGCCAATCCCCACTTGGCACCATTTATCGGTCATGACTCGGCCACACTCGAGTCATTACCGATATCACCGATTAAGGGGGTAACACATTCCTACTACGGGCCCAATCACAATTAACCGAGGCCTACTCCAATATTAAGCAATCGCCAATTCCAGGCATAAATTCAATATACTCTCGACTGACTTACGTCAATATATATATGCTTGAATTCACTGAAAATGGCAGCTAATACATAAATTTCTTATAATTAAATCCCAATTTATTTTACATAAAAGCCCAACACACATATTCAACTTATAAGCAAAGAATATGAACAGTTAAGAATAATCAACATCATCTTATATAATAGCAGTTGAAAGCTCACACTAAACTGAAGATTTAATGAAATCAATCAGCCTATTCAAACTGCTGTAAGAACTCCCTCCTTCACTAACCGCCTTCTTCGCCAGCTCAGCGAAGCGAACGCCCCTCTCCGAGAACTCGTCTCTCTTATCCTCCATTACCTCTCTCACCATCTTCTCAACAATCACCCTGTCACAGCTATCCTTCATATCCAATCCCACCTTCCAAACATCGCTCACGAACCGACTGTTTATCGTCTGATCCGCGAAATAAGGCCAGCATATCATCGGCACACCAGCTGCAACGCTCTCCATTGTCGAATTCCACCCGCTGTGTGTGAAAAACGCACCCACCGAAGGGTGGGCCAAGACCTCGTTCTGTGGGACCCACCCAACCAGGTAACCCCTCTCCTTCGTGCCTGTGTCCAATTCCTCCGGAACGGAATATTCTTCTCCGGTGATGGAATCTGGCCTCATTACCCACAAGAACCTGTGCCCACTGTTCACTAATCCATACCAGAATTCGAATACCTCGCTTCTTGTCAACAGTGTGATGCTTCCAAAGCTCACATATATCACAGATTTTGTCGGCTGATTGTTTAACCACGTTATGGAGCTGCGATCCTCCTCCCAGAAGCTGCTAGAAGGAAGGGGCAATTCGGTCTTTTTGGACACCAGTCGAGCCTGGAGATGAGTGTGGATTGGACCTATGGGATACAGATTCGGAATGTGGTTTCGGATTTGATCAAGAATCGGGCCTTCCAAATCTTCGAATGAATTGAGTATCAATCCATTGGAACGAGCTGTTCTTTTAGATTCTGTTATGATGGTTTGGAATACAGGGTTATTAACGTCATTTACTCGGCAAAAAGCCGGAAGATCGCGTCGCCGGAGATACCCTTCCATTCCCGGCACACTTGTTACCGGCAAATCGAAATCTTCCCTTTTCCAATAGGCGTATTTGTCTTCATCCTTACCTAACCCAATCAAATATAGAAAGCGTTAATTGAACAGAGCTGCGAGAAATTAGGGCAAATCCAGCTGAAGAAGAAAGGACAATTAATTGGGGAATTGGAATCAATTTACCTTTCAGAGGGATTTCTCCAGCTTCAATTACTTCTTTGAAGCAGAAATTAGCCCAAAATGCACAAGCGCTGATTGTCCTGAAATAAAGGAAAGGAATACCCATTTCTTCGACCACCGGAACAGCGAAACTGAAAACCCCATCCATGATTAGGCAGCTCACGCGCCTCCGAGCTCCGCCGTCACTTAGGGCATCGGTGGTCTCCATCACTCTGCGGAACTCCGTTCCGCCTACTCTCACAAGGCTCATCACGATATCCATGCTGCGCTCGCCGGCGCGGGGGTGGTCGTCGGGGAGGCCGTCGGTCATGGTGGCGACGCGGAAGCCGGGGTATCGGGAGAAGCGGGATTCGATGCTGGCGTGGCGGCGGAGGCGGCTGTGGGAGTAGTCAGAGATGAGCATGGAGACGTGGATATCGGAGAGGCACAGGAGCTCCGCCAGCTTCAACATCGAGTTGATGTGGCCTTGCATCGGTAATGGGAAGATGAGGACGTGCGGCGGCAGTTCACCGGCGGTTTGGTGGTGGTCCATCGCCGTTTCCCGGCTCATTTTTTCTTTTTTAATAAAAGAAATCCAAATTCCGGCTAAATTTGAAGTAGCTTGATGGAAGTATCTTTGATTGATTATATTAGGAATTAAAATCTACAAATCATTACTTAATTTTTTCTTTCCAGATTTGGATTTAAAAAAGACGTGATTAAATAATATACTGTTGAAAGATGCGTACTGATAATTACGTCGTTGCACATGGATACACATTGGCGTTATTAGGAAAAAAGACAAATTAAGGCCAACACTTGAACTAAGGTCAAATTATTAAAAAACCCTTCATATTTGAATAATTAGAAATGTATCTCTCAATTATGTATTTTTATACGAAAAAATCCTCATTTTTTGGTGAATTTGACATCATAAAGATGGAGGTGTAACCAACCTTCATTAGGAGAGTTGGTATATATCTACTAATTTATGTTTAATACATTTTAAAAAATAAAATAATTTATTTGATTCCTACGGGTTGGAGCATATAAGTTTTTTCGAAGTACCAAAGTATTATTTCAAGCATCAATTAAGGGTTTAGATGTCTCATTTCGATACCTACCATTGGAGTTGCTTTAAGACAATAATAATTGATGGAATTATTATAATTATCCAAACAAAATGAATTTTTAAAATAATTAGACCTTAATGTAATGATAACCGTAGTTTATTTATTGGCCGTTAAATTAGTAGAATATATTTAAAAAAATATTTAATTGTAAGAAGAAAAGTAGATGGACTAATAACTGTTATTGTAGGTACCAACAACTTCTGGCCCAATTTCATGTGCCCATAAATTTACAAGTCCTTTTCCATTAAAGCCTATATAGTTTCTTGGGTAAATTACACCCACACCCCTGAGGTATGCTTAAATAATTTTAAGGTTCCTGTGGCATCAATAATTACACTCACCCCCCTGAAACTGTGAAACATAGTTAGAAACTCTAACGAGATAATGCATTGGATACATTATTCTGATAAGGTTATGGCTTCCCCAATATTTCTTAAATCACCCATAACTCTTTGTTGTCTCCACCACTTCCTGAAACCAATACTCCGTTAGAACTCTATCGTAATAACGTACCCAATGTATTATCCCATTAGAGTTTATAACTACGTTTTAAGGGGGTGACTGTAATTATCGATACCACAGGGACCTTAAATTATTTAAGAATACCGCAGGGGTGTGGGTGTAATTTACCCTATTTTCTTTCTATTGAAACCTATATTCAAGATAGATGCTGGCTTCAGCTCAGGCGGTTCTTCAAACCAGTCACTTGACTGCTTAGTTGATTACATTTCTTCATTCCGAACTCACATTTGCTGCTAAAATTGTATCGAATAAAACACTATATCAAGTATTGAAACCTCAATTATATTATTTAAAAATCGAATCTTTACTCACACCAAACACAAACAGGGACTCCAGAAACGAAAGATCAACTGGCACTCAACGATTTTATGTCGTCAATCAGACGCTTCAAGTTACTAAAAGACGATCCGCCTTCGGTCAAGCTTGTTTTAGCCGATTTCGCCATGTCATCAGCCCTAAGCAGAAACTCGTCTTTCCTCACCTCCATAAGATTCTTGATTGTCTTCTCAATCAAACTTCTATCACAAGTGTCTTTCATGTCCAATCCAAGCTTCCATTCCTCCTCAACCAACCTGCTATTAACCTGCTGGTCCATAAAATAAGGCCAGCAAATCATCGGCACACCTTCGTACACGCTCTCCAAAGTCGAGTTCCACCCACTATGTGTCAAGAAACCACCCACAGCCCGATGTGCCAATACCTCCTCTTGTGGGGCCCACCCCACAATGTACCCCCTCTCTCTCGTACCTTGCGAAAGCTCCACCGGAATTTCATACCCGGATATCGAATCGGGCCGTATGACCCACAAAAATTTCTGACCGCTGTTCACCAAACCGTACCAAAACTCCATTAGCTGATCGTTTGTCATCACAGCTAAGCTTCCGAAGCTAACGTAGATCACTGACTTGGGCGGTTGAGAATCGAGCCATGTCATGCAGGTTCTGTCTTCCTCCCATAGGCTGTTGGAAAATGCGGGCGGTGCTGAGGTAGAATTTGCAGCTAGTTGGGCTTTGAGATGCGCGTGGAGCGGGCCGATGGTGTAGATGTTTGGGCAGATAGTACGCATCTCGTTCAGAATTGGTCCTTCGAGATCTTCGAATGTGTTGAGTATGAGACCATAGGCACGTGCGTTTTCTGTGCTTTCGGCCTTGTACATTTCGATGATTGGGTCGGATATATCCGCAGATCGACAAAAACTTGGAAGATCTCTGCGCCGGAGGTATCTTTCCATGCCAGGTACACTCTTTACCGCAACATCCAAGTCATCTCCTACATTAAAAAAATAAATAAAAAAAATTCTGTTCATCTTTCTTAGGGTTTGTACCAACAAACAAAAAAGGGGGAATTCGACAAACTGGTTTTTCGATTGAATTGAAGTGATATCGTAGTTAGAGGATCATCATAGATTAGGAAAATTAATTTATCAGCAATTTCAGATCAAATTAACCAGTTGACAACAAATTTTATACTCTTCATCTAAATTCAATAAACAGAGGCGCTTGCTTACCTTGAAAGGGAAGATCTCCAGCTTGAATGAGTTCAGGAAGACGAAAGAATACCCAAAGGCAAGCAGCACTGATAGTCCTAACATAGAAAATCGGAACCCTAATTTGATTGGCCACATCACAAGTGAATCCCAAAATCCCATCGGCGATAATACACGAAACCCTAGAACCCAAGCTCCCGTTGCTGAGCATATCCTTGAACAAAGGTTTGGTATTGGTCATCAAAGATTCGAAAAGCTCCAAGAATTTGTCGCCCCTGGGGTGGTTTTCCGGCAAGCCGTCAGAGATGGTCCGGATATGGAAACCCGGGTAGGAGCTGAACCGGGTTTGGATGTTGGAGTGGCGCTGGAGGCGGGCGTAGATGTAGTCTGTGACGAGGAACGTTACGTGGAGGTCTGCCAGACAGAGAAGCTCGGCGAGTTTCAGCATCGAGTTCACCGGGCCTTGCAGAGGTAGAGGGAAGATCAGCACGTGCGGTGGTGGGACTGCTTTTTCATCCATCGGAAAATTGGAGACGGTGGTAATTAAACTGAAGCAATTTGTAGCCACTCTCTATGTATATATATGTAGATCCACTTCTCGTTTTTTTTTACTATTTTTAAATGAATGATCATAACTCTGTTTCAATCTTTTTCTTTTTCTTTTTTTTTTTTTTAATGTGAATCAGGTCAGTTGGACTAAAAAGTCAACGTTGAATCTCTAGATAGGCTTAATTAAAAGACTTTTTTTTTTTTTTTTTTTTTTTATGAGAAACTTAATTAAACGACTTGCAGTTAGCTATTTTCTCATGTATGAGAGTGTTTACAAGAATAATTAAAATTAATTTGATGGTAGAGTACTTTGATATATTTAACAAAGAAGGATACAAATATTGATATAATGGAGCAATCAATTAATAGCATCTCAACAAGTTCATCTAAAATAATTTACAACTTGTAGCATGCATGCATCATCAACTTATTCAACAATCAAAAGAAATTCAATACATATTAATTATTATTATCCAAGAATTACATTGTAATTATTTTCGTGTTATCTTCATCGTCTTAACGTCTTCAACAAGGCGATCGAAATCCAAGAAAGACGACCCACCTTCGGCCACGCTCGACTTGGCCAATTCCGCCATTTTTGCCGCCGTCTCCAAGAACTCGTCCTTCTTCAAAACCATAACCTCCCTTATCATCTTCTCCACCACAGCTCTGTCGCACGTGTCTTTCATGTCCAAACCAAGCTTCCACACCTCCCCCACGTATCGACTATTTACTTGTTGATCAACAAAATACGGCCAACAAATCATCGGTTTTCCTTCGACTATACTCTCCAACGTCGAGTTCCACCCGCTGTGCGTTAAAAACCCACCAATTGCCGGGTGGCCCAATACCTCCTCCTGCGGGGCCCATTTCACAATAAACCCTCTCTCCTTCGTCCCTTCGGATAACTCCAGAGGTATCTCTAATTCCGCGTCGGCTCCAATAACCGAACCGGGCCTCCGAACCCACAGGAATTTCGACCCGCTATTCACCAGTCCGTACCAAATCTCGAAGAGCTGCTCCTTTGTCATGACAGCTAGGCTTCCGATGCTGACGAAGATAACGGACTTCGAAGCCTGCGCATCAAGCCAAGAAATGCAGCTCTTGTCTTCTTTCCAAATACTATTGGTCGAGGTTTCGGGCCGAAATTCGGGCCCGGTTAGTGATTCCACCCGGGCTTTCAAGTGGGCGTGGAGCGGCCCGACGGCGTAGATGTTCGGGCTGATGTTGAGTAGTTGAGAAAGTATAGGAGATTCGAGTTCTTGAAATGTGTTGAAAATTAAACCCTGAGCTAAGGGTATGTGTTTGTCCTCTTTGAGAACTAGTTGTATGATCCGATCGTTTAGGTCTTTCGTTCGACAGAAACTCGGAAGATCACGGCGCCGGATTATTCCTTCCATTCCCGGTGCATTTATTATAATCTCATCCAAGTTATCATCTATGCTTAAAAAAGAATTAAATAAGAAAAAATATATAGTTAATTAAAAGAAGTCACAAGTGTATGAGCCTATAAACTAGCTACTATTTTTTTTACCTAATTAACAAAAAAAAAAATGTTTTAATTAAATGGATTTTACAGTTTTGGCCAAACGCTACAGAGTTTAATAAATCCCCAATTATGGTTAGCTAATTATGGGTAGGTGGTTGGAGGAAGGTTAGTAGAGAGGATAAAATTCAAACTCCCATGAACTAATTAGTTAACCTAATTACTAATATCTTAGTAAGTAATTAACTTTGTTAAAACTTGGATTAGTTCAGAAAGATAATTACAGCATATCTTGAGGATTAATTAGTATAAACAATATAATTAATTATTTAATTTCATGATAATTATGTGCTAGATCTGTAAATATGAAGAAAGTAGTTACAGCTGAGTTGACTCACCTTTGAAAGGAACTTCACCAGCTTCGATGAGCTTCGGCAAACAAAGGTAAGTCCAAAGCCCACAGGGGCTGATAGTGTCGAAATACAGCAACGGAACCCCAATCTCCGCCGCTATTTCGGCGGCGAAGGTGAAAATTCCGTCGGCGATTATACACGTCACCGGATTCTCAGAATCGGGGCCGTAGGGCCCGCCGGAGGTCACCATCTGCCGGAAAATTGGAACGGCGACGGCGTCCATGGAATTTAGGAGGTTGGGGATTTGATCGCCGGTGCGGGGATTACCCTCCGGCAGGCCGTCGGGGACTGTGTCGAAACGGAGGAGTGGGTATCTTGTGAAGTAGGTGTGGTTGTCGGTGCAGTCGAGGAGGCGGTGGTGGATGTGGTGGGTGTTGAGGAAGGTGGTTCTGATGCGGCGGAGGGAGAAAAGCTCGGCGAGTTTGAGCATGCAGTTGACCGGGCCTTGTAGCGGCAGAGGGAATATCAGTACATGGGGAGAAAGAGAAGCTTCATTTTTAGGCATTTTTTTGATTTTGATTTTCTTTTTTAATTTCTTTCTGGCGTTATTTAATAACTGGGTTGTGTGTTTGGCTTGACAAAGGATGTGTAATTACTATTTTAGTCCTTCAGAATAAGGGGTACTTGGGTAGGGATGGTAGCGGAGCGGGTACCCTCGAAAAAGTGCAATACCAGAACCATTACCATTTAATATAGCTCAAACCATGACCATACCAAACCCATTTAAAAAATCAATGGAAATACCAGAACAATTACCACGAATATCCGAATACCCACGGGTACCCTTTTACCATTTAAATTGTTCTAATAAAAATAACTTTGGGTCCGATAACGTTTAAGTACTCTCAGAAAAGTGGAAGAAAAAAAAAGTTATTGATACCAATATATCTTCCCTAAATTATTTAATATATTATTAAAAATTTTGCCACATAATTATTTTTATTCATATAATGTTGAATAAATATATATATATATATATATATATATATATATATATATATATATATATATATATATATATATATATATATATATATTAAATGGTCGGGTACCCATGACAGAACCATACCAAAACCATGACGGTTTTCTTTTCTTTTACCAAAACCATTACCAAACCCTAATGGTTTCGGTAACGGGTTTTAAACGGGCGGATACTCGCGGATAGCTAGCGGTTCGGATTTTTTTGCTATCCCTATGGTTGGGGTTTGTATGGGAATTTCACTTGGTGTGTATAGTGACCGGTGTGTACAGTTCTTGACATTATTGATGATCTTAGTTAGGTAGTATTTATTTGCACTATTTTTTATACATATAGTTGAAATTAGGTCTTTTATAAATATGGATAATTTACATAAATTATTAATTAAAGTTCTTTCGTTGAATTCACAACCATAATTTACCCAACTCATGCTTGAAAGTCGTCTGCTGTTGTCTGACTAATCAGAATGGATATTGATTTTGTTTGAAAATGCAAAAATAATTAAATAATATCAATTTGGATACTAAAAGTTGAAAAAGAATAAAAAAATCGTTATCTCAACTTCTTCTTTTATTCCTTTTAAATTTGAGATTATTCGCAAATTGAATTTCTAATTATTTTATTCAATAGTATAAAATATGCATGTAAAGATATTGATATTAGAAGTGTAATTTTTTTGGAGAAAAAAAAAATTCAACTGAACACTTTTAAATTGACCAAATTCAGTCCATTAACCTTATATCTCTCTCATAAACTCATAGATGTAGATGGATAAAAAAAGGAGTAAATAGTCTAGGTACAATTATCGTCATCATCAAGTGTAGTGTCGTCGGAAGCAAACAAAATGAATCGACGAGGAGAGAGAAAGAGAGAGAAATCACAAGTTAGGGCAGGAGAGAGGCGGAAGTTGAATACTCCGAATGAATGAATAGAATCAAAAGTTAAAAGTCAACCGTCTGGATTAACGGATTTAAAGGATTCTCAAGTTTCGATCGAAATTCGAGCTTTCGTGCAATTGAACAAATTTCTTGTTAGACCGCCTGAAGAAGAAATAGATTAACGGACTGAATTAAATGAACCATTGGTCCCGAAATCCAACAAAATGTTACACCAATCAATCTAAATCTTGCTTTTAAGGATAGTATAAAAGGAAGACGAAAATTTCTATACAAGTTTTAGAAAGAAGTATTATGTGGGGTCAGAATGAAATGATGGATAAGTAGTACACATAAATAAAAAATTAACAACAATAACAGGCAATTATGGCACTAATCATAGTTATCTTGCAAAGTGCTGTGGGTTTACCAGTTTCAAATTGAAATTGTTTTCCCTCAGATTGCATAAAGACAAATCGTATTATATATTTTCTTCTGTACAGAATCTTCTTTTTATAGTTGTTTGGATTCGATATATAGATTCGGGTATGGGTCTTGTTCAAGTTTGATTTGAGAATCATGGATTGGGTAGGGGGGGTGTATCTAGACTATCTTCTTAAAAAAATGGTAAAAGTAGGCTACTAGTCAGATAAGTTTGAATTACGAAAAAATCACTCATATTTTGAGTAATTATAACTATTTACTCGACTATGATTTTTTTTAAATGTACATTATTGTGATGTCAAATTTAGTGAAATCTTATAGATTATATGAAATGTTCTCTAGTTTGTACCTATTTTATATCATTCGAGCTTCACATTTTGACACAAGACAAGATGATCATACCTTATAAATATCAAAAATTCTCGTGAATCAGAAACTGCATATTTGCACAAAACGAGTATCAAACTAGAGAACATTACAAGAAATATATAAGATTATGTAAGATTTCACACTATAATTGTGGACGTATAAGAAGATTCATGGTTGATGGGCGATTACAATTACTTAAATATGAGGGTTTTTCTTGTAATTTAACCTTATTTTAGGAGTGGCCGTAATTTATCCCAAAAAATAGCATTTCATCCTGTCAAAATATGATAACTTTTTTATTTTTCTTAATAAGTGTGAAAAATAAAAAAAGACCATAGACACTTAATATATTTAATCTTTAGTCAATTAATTAAACAAAGTATTTATCTATTATTATTTATTGAAAAATAGAAAGCCCACTTTGTATTAAATTGAAATAACCACTAATGCTGATGGCCCAAAAGTAAATAATTTGGTTTTCAGTATTATTAGGGTTCATCAAGAAAAGCCCACAGCAGAATCTAATTTGTCCAAAGCCCAGCCCGAAAGAGATCAACCATCCACGACAACTCCCGGACATTCTAGAAATGTGTGGATCAATTGTTCATCTTAATCGCGAATGACATATATTCCAGATAGATCTTGATAATTCACAATCGCCCTATAAATTCCTTTGCTACCTATCGTTTTCCCCATAATCAAAAATATATTCTGAAAAAAAGAAACAATCATCACTGCAAAATATGGCTCTGATTCCAAGCTTTTTCACCGGCCGCCGGAGCAACGTCTTCGACCCATTCTCTCTGGATCTCTGGGACCCCTTCGAGGGTTCCCCTTTTTCCGGCACGGTGGCCGGACAGTCCGCCTCCGCGCGCGAGACTTCGGCGGTGGCGAACACGCGCATAGACTGGAGGGAGACGCCGGAGGCGCACGTGTTCAAGGCGGACCTGCCAGGGCTGAAGAAAGAGGAAGTGAAGGTGGAAGTGGAGGACGGCAGAGTGTTGCAGATCAGCGGCGAGAGGAGCAGGGAGAACGAGGAGAAGACTGACACTTGGCACAGGGTGGAGAGGAGCAGCGGTAAGTTCCTCCGCCGCTTCAGGCTGCCGGAGAATGCCAAGATGGAACAAGTCAAGGCGACTATGGAGAACGGGGTGCTGACCGTGGTGGTCCCCAAGGAGGAAGAGAAGAAGCCCGAGGTCAAGTCCATCGACATCTCCGGCTGAGTATATATATATATATATATATATATATATATATATATATATATATATATATATATATATATTATATATATATGTAATGACTGGTTATGCATGTTAGTTTGTTCTTGTAAAGCTGTTTGTTTTGGTGGTTGTGCAATTTAGCATGTACAAAAAATCAATAATGTATGTGTGTGTTTTGAGTGTGTAATACAAAAATCACTATTAGCTAACACCTAATCTTGAAACTTAAGTATTGCTCGTTCTCAATAAATTAACGGAAATGATCAGAAGTGTTGAATTTTTGGTTTCAATTTTCGGTTTCAGTAGCAATAAGCCGGTACCTATATGAACAAAAAAACTAGCCAAAGATCGAACATCTCCGATTTTTTAGATCCTATATTTGGTGAGATACACCGCGTAAATTTATAAAATACATCTACACTCAATTACACGAACATATGTGTGTAAAATGGGTAGTTAACAATGTACGTGTATGTATATATATTCTCGAATAACCTCAAGAACTCTCTCAATCCTCCGTTTCCACGAGCTCCAAATTCTCTTCATCAATAGCAACAACTCTTGCCCCAGCTCTCCGAACGAAACCCTTGTTCGAATTCTCAAAAACCTTATACCCAAAACCCCCGTTTTTCTTTAAATCAAAACCGTTTTCGTCTTCGTTAGCCTCCTTCTTCAAGTCAGCAGGGGGCAGAAAGCAATCCATGGAAAGACCCTTTATATTGAAGTCAACTTCCTCGACACTCCAAATCTCCTCCATTCTCGACCTCGTACACGCGTCCAGATTACCTTCCTCAAACCTGAACAAGGACACGCTCGTCTTTCCGGCGTGAGCAATATTAACGCCTTCGATCGTCCTGTAATCTTGGATCAACGACTCCATGTTCGTCTCCCAGAAGACGTCGTCTTTTCCGGACGATTTTATCCTCAGCAAATGGGAGTCTTCCAGCTGGACCAACAGCCCTGTTCTCTGGCTGAAGCATCCCCATATCGTGTGCCTGATTATATCGACATTGCTGCTGCTTCTTGCTCTCAAGGTGGTCGGCCCCGCTTCGAGCTTTAAAACGAAGCAGTCTTCGTTGTTGACGGCCTTTTCTCCAATGCAGATCGAGTTTGAGAACAGGTTCGCCGTCGACTTCGGGTCGAGCCCCTGTTTGCAAAATTCAGACAGAGTTAACAAAAAGTCCCCAAAAAAAAAAGATAAAATCGAAATAGACGAAGAATAACCTGCAAGGATCGACGAAGAGGCCGAGGCGGGCCCCGCGAAGAATTCGAATGTTGCTGCCAAGGTGTCTGCCTCCAAGCAACTTTACCATCACTGCCAGCACTGATTTTACACCCGGAAACCATCAACTCCAAACTCCATAAATCTGGACTCTTCTGCCACAACACAAACCCCCCTAATTCGCCCCCTCCATTAATATTATTCTTCATATTTTTCATCTTATTATTATTATTTAAATCTTGTACTACTCCTGCCCCAAATTCTGATGACGTCATCTTCACCTTCCCCATAGCATACATGCTATCGATACTGTTCAGAGCATGTTCTCCCCCTGCAGCTGCTACGTACTGCTGCACTATGTACTTAGCCATTGAACTCTCCTGCAATAACGAAATCATTTATTATTACTGCTGTAAAATGTAAATTCTCTCTCTAGAAAAAAAAAACAGAAAAAAGATGAGTAGATGACTTACGATGGGTTGGCCTTTGATGGTGCGGTCGTTGAATAACGTACGATGGGATTGGATCGGAATTGGGATCAATGGAGCTCCGATGACTCCTAACAGGAACTGAATCTCCATGGCATGACCGCCGCCTGCCGGAGAAGAAGCCCTTTCCATGTGTGGTGGTTTGATGAGCCAAGATTTGACGCTCTGCCATGATCTGTGCTTGTAATTGGAGGGGAAGATTTCTTCGGGTATTGGGACTTCAAGAACAGTCTCCAGTGCGTCTTCTCTGTCGAGATTAGGGCATAGTGTCCTCATGTTGAGAATATTTTTGACTGTGTTTTTTGTTGTGTATGAAAGGTGTTTGATAAAATGTGTGTGAGAAATGAATGAGAGTTTTGGTGTAATTTGTAGTAAGAGATTTGTGGGGAAGACTAACGTGGGAAACTTTGTCTGTGTCGTGGCCGCACGCTTAGCTTTATATTTGTTTATTTTCCATTGTTTAATTAATAATTGTTGTTTGGGTGTGCAATAGTCAAATTTTTTTAGTAGTTAGTTGAAACTTAAGATCAAATTAATGTTATTTATATAATTGTGCGAAATAAATTCTACTCTTTTTTTCTAATGCGGTTGCCTTTTACTTTTACTTTACGAAAAGATTAATAAATTAGAGAGAAAAGTTCAAATAAAAATTCCTCATTAGCTAGGTTGCATAAGTAGAATGGTAAAAGTAATGATTTTTTGTTTCGAGATAAATCTAGATTTTTATCTCTCTATTTTCTTTCTCTCAGTGCGAATCGAGTTCGATTGTTTTAAATCAGTTGAGTCAATTGCTAGTCATTGATTGAACCATAGTTTTTAACTAGGGGAATAATTTATAACTAAACTAATTTGATGATATTTTTCCAAACCGAAAACTATATTGTATTGTACCTATCCTACAAAAAAAAAAAATAATAATAAATAAGAGAATAAACTCAATTTCTCTTTAAAGTATGTATACATAAAAGTGTGAATGAATTGAAATGAATGTAACATCTCCCTCCGGCAGCTCTGCCCACCAATCACAACGCAATCAATGCTATTACATGTTATCAATTATTTTCAAAGACTGACAAAATATAACCTGAATACAAATAGGAAACAAATACATTATATTGATTATTATGATGAAATAATTAAGTAAATTAGTATATGTCACCCCACCACCTAATTCTAATGTTTCACACTGTCCAGGGGACAAATTTGAAACTTGTCTACTAAGAAGAATTTAAATATATTAAGCTGACTCAGCATTATATTGTATTTCATGTCAATTAATATAGTATATATAATTATTATCGTAAATAATAATTTATATAGTTTTGGGAGGATGCACATATATGAAAATTTGCGAATTATATGAATACATGTGCATAAAGTGTCCATGACAAAGTGATATGTTTTCTTATCTTATTTGGCTTTATATGCGAAGCAAAAAATAGGGAGATTGAACCTGGATATGAGAATTTAGGTGTAAAATAATTAATTAATTAATTAATTAATAGTGCAAATTAAAACAACTTTAATAAACATGGAAATTGTCGGCTGGAGGCGCCACATGCAACCGACCATCTTAAATCTCCAACAACAAAGGTTGGCTAATGAAGACGACAATTTGATTTGTAATCTTTTCTTTCGGAACTTCATTAATGCCGACCATAATTAAAATTAAATACTATATTTAACACTAATCATACACTAGTAGTACCTCGTGAACCCGCCACGTAATCTTTTGACAAGAATTAGTCGTTTAAAAAAGTCACTAATTATGTGATGCACGTTCATATATTCCTATATTAAGGATTAAGTTAATGAGCATATCACCAAAAAAATTAAATTGTTAAAGAGGCGTAATATTTGATAATTTAAATACAAGTCTTTTACCTATTGTACTTCACACATCGGAATAGACTGTTTTTTCAGTTTGGTTTGTTCCAATAGAATATTGTTGAGTTTCCACTCAAAGAAGCTTACAGATAAAACTCAGAAGAGATATTAGTGATCAAAACACAAAGTATAAACATATATGAATATAAGGAAAAATAGGAATTGAAACAGCTCAGCCTTCCAAACTGATTCACACCAGAGATTCACTAAGGTCTCAAACCTTACACACACACAGTCTAGGATTGCACCAACACAGATAACCAATCCCTCTCCCTTAAACCCTAAACCACCCAGATTCTAGGTAAGACCAAGAAAACGATGCACTCAGCACCTCACCCACTCATCACACACCCAACTCACAGAAGAAGGAGGTAAGGCATTTGAATTAGGGTTTTTCTCTAGGTCTTACCCTCTGCCACTCATCTCCCAGCATTAAATAGGAGCTCCTGTCAAAGGTAACCGTTGAAGGGACCACCACTGGGACAAGCACGGCCGAGGACGGTGGCGGTTTGCCCATGGTTGCTGGAGCAAAAGGAGAAAGGAGCAGAAGGGGACAAAGAGGGAGAACAGAGATTGTCTAGGGCACAAACGGGAAATGAGAGTACAAGGGGAGAGGGAAAGTCAGCCAAAATGAATGGTCAAGATCAAGTCAATCCAAGGGTTCAGATTGAGCCTTCTAGCACATTCCTACTGATGAGCTTTTTCTGTTTGGGTCATTCCTATAGACAAGTGTGTGTGTGTATTAATCTGATTTATTGGGCTATAAGCCCAAACACATTGGGCCACAACCATAACAAATATTAAGTTAAGTACATCATTTAAACTCTTTATGATATATCTCAGAATAGACGGGTCAAGCCCGTGGATGGAGAACTTGGGTCGGGCCAAATTCTTAGCCCAATGGGCCGACTTAAACCGGCCAAACAGGCCTGACTGGCCCATATATGCGTCAATAGGTTTACATCAAATGACAAATAAAAAGAGAGCATAGCAGTCACAATTGACACCAAAATATAATTTATGGTTACAAACTTAGAATAAACATAACAAGTTGCAACTACAAATTGTTCTTGTGAGAATTAATTGATTTATTTCAAGGGGGTACCTTAAAGTGGAAAAGCCATGAAATTACAAATGCAAAAACCATACAACCTAATAAGAAGTTTAGAAACCGGTGACCTTGCCAGAAGTTTCTCGATTCTGCCGCCGCCGTCGCAGCTTCGTTTCGTTGCTCCGGCGATTCAGCCTCGTTCGCACCGGGCACGTTCTGTGCTATGGACCCACATATCTCACAGGTTCTATCCAAAATCCAAATCATCATAGCATATATATTAATATATACATCAAATTAATTAGGACATATATAAAAATATGTAACTCACAATAGACATTTTTTCATATTACGTTAACTTGAAATTATGTGATGTTAATAAAGATAAACATTTTAAAATGGAAGAATAAATAATATAATATTTTTTATGGATAAAGATAAATATATTTTAATAAAATGGAATGGATAAATAGATGCTCACAATAGAAAACAAAATTTAGTCGGCTGCCAAATGATTCCTATTGCTTTCATCTTTATTTTTTATTTATTTACCTCAATAATTAACATCTATAATCCCACAAATTACACTAAAAAATGAAACAAAAAGTTTGACTTTTTTTGGGTTGACTTACTTGTTACCCTTAATATTGAACCAGGCTTCAGCACAGTGTTGGTGGGCAGCAGCCAAATCATCTTTACAAGAACATCCCAATTCAATGGGAATCCCTTGTTGTTCCCGATACATAAAACGGGTAGTGAATTTAGTAAATTGGTTGAACAAATTAATTAGTGAAAATACGGAAAGATTAGCCGAGGCGAGTTGACTCTGTCCTTAAGACGAAATTTCCCCGCAACGGTGCTAACGGATTAAATGGAAATCGTCTCCCAAGATACAACGGCTAAACTTGGAATAGGAGCACTCCAAATCCCAAGTACGACGAACTGTACTTTGTGTAGAACTTTTCGAGAGAATCTGTGAAGGGTAGGCTTAATATGTAGTAGGCTTGTTTTTGGATTGAAGTGAGGAATTTTGGGAAAGTTAGGGTCTATTTATAAGGTTCGAAAAGTAGTGTCCTTTGGAGCAAAAAGGTACCTTTTGTTTTGAATGGTTGCACCATTTCGAGTTGAGCCAATTGGGAGTGGTTGCACCATTTCGAGTTGAGCCGAATGGTTTGCATTGGTTCGGCCGCACCAATTCAGACCAATCAGACCAATCGAGATGGGCTTCGAGTAATAAGGGCCCAATGGGTTAAAAACCCATGACCTAATGTTTTTGGCCCGTCCCAATATTTTGATATATATACAGCTCAGTACTTCTCTACTTTTCCAATGTGGGATAACTCAAATCCCACTTTCCTTATATTTTGGACTAGTAATTTTTCATTCACCACAAAATTGGTTCTAATCCAAAATTCATTTATATACTCAATTAGACCGTACAATAACATTGATAAAAAATTGTTCATGACTCAATTTTTAACCAATTTTCCCAACAATCCCCCACATGAATGAAAACGAGGGCGTCGATTCTCTCTAGAGTTCCCGCGAATAGTATTGCATCGGGATAGGTAGCATATAGCTTTGAACCTTCCGTAGTGGAGTTACATCGGATTTACTAGGCTGAGTAGTGAACGCGATGTCTTGAACTGTCAGCCGTTCGTGTAAACCAAGACAATGCAACCCACACAATACTATTCTCACATTTCCTTAGTTCTCATGATTGTGTCCGTTTTGGCCATGGACACACATCTTGGATTCATAAGTGTTTGTCAAGTTTTTTGAAGCGGCCCTCACTTCATACACTTACATAGGTGATCTCCTATTAAAGGTATCCTGCCAATACCTCACCTTTTCTTATAAGGTTTTGGAATCATTAAAAGCTTTCGCTTATCCTTTACCCTCTCTGCAGGCAGCACTAATGTCTATCACGGGAATGAGTTGGAAATATATTATTCCATAGGAATATATACTCCTTAGTGCATCACTGAACTTTCTTAGCTTAGTTGTCCCTTTTGAACCAGTTCTTGGGATCTCCAGTCAGCATGGTTGGGTTACCACCAAGATTGTCCTTAATTTATGGGTTTTAATCTCACTCCCCTAGACAGGCAATATGTTTGATCTCTTTAGTTGACTTTTAGTCGCGGATCCGCTATTAACCATTGATTTTCATAATCAATGTTATATTATTTCCTTTGAGATCAATTGCCTAATGGTCTTATGTGTACGAGTGTATCGATACTTGCCATTATACATGTCGTTTGTGCCCTTAACGTAACCGATTGGTTATCACAATTTATTCATAATTGTAGACACCGACTTAGTCCAACACGGAACATCCTCCAATAATTTTATGAAGTTTATTCAACTTCTTTTCTAACCTTATCTCAAGTTATACATTCGAATTCGACCATGAATCGAGCTATTCAATTTTGTTTGAGGATTTCCATTATACATAATCTTAGTGGACTCATACATCCAATGTTCCTTCCTAATACAATTGGATATTTTCTTTAATGTAATCCATTTAAAGACGATACTTAGATTACCTAAGAACCCTTATAATATCATTGAATGATTATTTATTTTGGAATTACATATTTACTAGTTTGCAATTCATTATGCTGCCAAACTATCCAAAAATATTTGTAATTGAACCATTCTTCATCATTATTTTTGGCAAGGTAAACCCTTGGTCTTTAGATAACTAGATCAATTTTCTAGTAGTGTCTCAACATGAGACTTTCAATAAGACTATCTTTGTCTTAGTGATTTTAATCTATAAGATTACATCCTCTAGACCCTCGTCTTTTGACATCAAAAATTTTATTTTTACTTTTCCAATATTTTCTCAACGTTCAAAATAGTATCATGATCACTATCTCATGATTATAATGTCGTCTATGGACATATACTTCCATGTGCTTTTAATATAAACACACTGGCCACACTCGTTATTACGAGAACTACTCGATAACACAATTTTATCAAATATTACTTTAGAATCACTTAACGAGTTTCAATATCTTGTTATAAATAATCAAGATTTTCCATAGCTATTTAATTTAGCTTTATTGGACCACCCTTTTAATTCTTCTTTTGAATAGTCCATCTAAACCTTAATGGTTTACTACTTGGAAGAAGACAAACTAACTTCCACGTACATTCTTCCAATGTAGACAATATTTCAATAATTGTCCATCGTTCATTTTATAACTCATAAGTCAATAAAATCTAACGTATTGATTTTCTTTGCCATCTTGTTGTATCTTGGTTGTTCATCACTTTGATGATTTACCACTCACACATATATTAACTTGGTTGTTCATCACTTTGATGATTTACCACTTACACATTTATAAGTTCTTTTATTTAGAACTTATTTATTTTCTTATTTTACAAGAAAAATATAATGTAATTTGCATCAAGAATGACTATCTTATGCACAATCATTATTTGCATATTCAATGAATATGCTTAAGTACTTTATTCACTTAACTATACTAGGCATTGTATATTAAGTTAGGTACTTTTTTTTTTTTACCTTTGCCTAAACACCCCCACATTTCTAAATATTAATGTGGTTAGGTCGGAATATTTAATTTATGTGGTTAGGGCCTAAAGACCCCCACATTTCTAAATATTAACGTGGTAGCTCGGGATATCTAATTTCCCCCACAAATTCTAGAGTATGTATTCTAGTATTTATCAATATAATATCCATAAACTTTTTCCAGAAGTTTTGGTTCTCATTTTTAATTCATTTGTCAAAGTTGGCACTTTCCAACTTTCATTCACATAACATTTAAATGCTTTGAAATCCTTATTTTTATTTTATTAATAAGGATACAATGTAACAAAATACATTTCTTCTTTAGTTAGAAAAATATTTTGGATCACCAATATGATTTAATTACAAAGTATTGTTTTTCTTTCTCTCAAGAAAGCACAACAAGAAAAATCTTCTCAAGATACTTAAATCTTGTCAACAATTAAGATAATAAGATTTCTTCTTTTTCCTCAAAAGAGAAAACTCGTCAAGATACTTAAATCTTGTCAATAAACAAGAGAATATTAATCTCTTCAAATGGCGGTTGATCTCCACTATTCAACATTAAAGTTAGAATATATAAATTCTAATTTTAATCATTCATAATTTAGGATTGTATGTCCTAAACATGCCGTTCAAAATTCAGCCAAATCCAACGATTTAATTCTACAAAACGAGCTCTTAAGTAAACTGCTCGAATTTTATTTCAACAAAGCATTCATTGTTGTTTACAATTATTTCGGATGTTTGAAAATCAAAATCCGATCCCATCCATTCACATTGTAGATCATCACCTTGTAAATGTGATCTAAAAAAATCAAATCGAACCAACAATTCGATCTTCTCTTATGTTCTTGAGACAAGAACTACTCATGTGCTCTCATGAATTGAGCTTCTCTTTCTTTCTATTTTATTTCAAATCATGCTTTTAATTAAACCGTAGTATGATTCATATATAAAACATATGTACATCAATATTATAATAAACATAATATTTGACATGTGAGCACGTCTTTCATACTAGTTGATCATAGAAAGAAACAATATATCAAGCATATTATATCAACATATACATAGTATACACACTAGTATATAATAGCATCAAATTTGAAAATAATATTTCATGGCATAAATAAATTCATGTCCAACATAATGAATTGATAAAAATTCTATAGCACGTAATCAATGCATGTCAATGCAATAACACAATTCTAAGGAATTAGTATGGCTTACGCAAATAATAATATGTATAATAATATTCCTCTTAGTAAGTAACTCATACTTAATATACGAGACAAGTCTAATCGATCATGACAATAATAAAAACGTTAATAAGATCACGTACTCACATATTCGAAAATCAATCAACCGGACAGTTCCACATCAAATTGGGAGAAAGTTAATCCCATATCAAACTATAAGCAATTTATGCAAATAAATATTGCATTTTCATGAGAAATGTCATTAGTATAGCACTTATCATGCGGTTTATGATAAACTTATTCAAATAATTAGCACATACGCTATCACTTTATTTTATTTTGGATAAAAATATTTCTATTATTAATGTACATACACAAACATCATGAATATTCATTAAGCATATATATTGTACATGGTTTACCATGCTTCCACATAGAAAATTAAACTATCATGCAATAATCCACCATTATATCATATAGCATTATCAATATATTTCACAAATAGATATCTTATACTTAAAAAACGTACCCGATAAATTATATGTTCGTCAATTCAAGATTTTGTGGGTAGCACCAAATCGTGTCAATATTATGGCAGTGCTGAATGATTTATTCATATCTCTTCCGTCCCAAGTCCGATTTTGTTGATTCAATATGATCCGAACAGACAACAAAATTATCTACAACTTTTATGTTTTACGTTTTCTGAGATTCGGATTGGATCATGATCAAAATAAGCCACGAAGTCGGAATAGGTGTGCTGTAAATTTGCACCTACAATGGAACCAGGAAAAAAAAATATTAAATAATATTCATGAATAAAAAATAATATAAAACCTCATTATTGATCTTCGATTCAGTCTTCTTTCATCAAAATTTCGTGCATTGGACATTGGTGATGTGTTAATATGCGACGAGTTGCATTGGTCACGAACGGTTGTAATTTCTTATGAAAAGGTGCATTGGCAGTTCTGCCACCCTTTCGTGTTTTCATCATAACTTCCTCGTACGATCTCCGATTGTGACGATTTAACATGTTCTGGAAAGCTAACTTGATTATCTACAACTTTTGTGAAATGTTAATTTGCCATATTCGGACTTTAACACCTTCGAAAATGGGAAAGAATGTGGACTTCATGTTCTGTCCGAAAATGAACTTTCTCCAATTGTATTTTGTAACTTCTTGATTTTTGGCAGACTATCTTCTTCTCCATCTCGTTTACCAACGTGTGCAGAAAACACAATTTACTAAATCACAAAGATTTCGTCTTAAGATTGTTGTTCCCGATACATAAAACGGGTAGTGAATTTAGTAAATTGGTTGACAAATTAATTAGTGAAAATACGGAAAGATTAGCCGAGGCGAGTTGACTCTGTCCTTAAGACGAAATTTCCCCGCAACGGTGCTAACGGATTAAATGGAAATCGTCTCCCAAGATACAACGGCTAAACTTGGAATAGGAGCACTCCAAATCCCAAGTACGACGAACTGTACTTTGTGTAGAACTTTTCGAGAGAATCTGTGAAGGGTAGGCTTAATATGTAGTACGCTTATTTTTTTTTGATTGAAGTGAGGAATTTTGGGAAAGTTATGGTCTATTTATAAGGTTCGAAAAGTAGTGTCCTTTGGAGCAAAAGGTACCTTTTGTTTGAATGGTTGCACCATTTCGAGTTGAGCCAATTGGGAGTGGTTGCACCATTTCGAGTTGAGCCGAATGGTTTGCATTGGTTCGGCCGCACCAATTCAGACCAGTCAGACCAATCGAGATGGGCTTCGAGTAATAAGGGCCCAATGGGTTAAAAATCCATGACCTAATGTTTTTGGCCCGTCCCAATATTTTGATATATATACAGCTCAGTACTTCTCTACTTTTCCAATGTGGGATAACTCAAATCCCACTTTCCTTATATTTTGGACTAGTAATTTTTTCATTCACCACAAAATTGGTTCTAATCCAAAATTCATTTATATACTCAATTAGACCGTACAATAACATTGATAAAAAATTGTTCATGACTCAATTTTTAACCAATTTTCCCAACATCCCTGAATCCTGATTGGCTGATGCATCCATGCTGAGGTGGCATATCCTACAGTCCCTCTCTCTTTTACCCGAGTTCTGCTTCGTTAATTCAACACCACAACCCGACCCGCTTTCCAGATCCACCACCTCCACCGAACACTCCGACGACACAGTACCGGATGATGATCCCCTCCTCTCGTGCTTCTCCTCTCTATTGTTATTACCATCATTTTCCGCCACTCCAACTATCTCTTTTGACTCCGACAACCGCCGCCCGCCGCCGCCATTGTTGCAACTTCCTGATTCTAAATCAATATCTGAGGGATTATGTAAAGTTGACATTTTTACTCAGACCCAGATTATGAATCTTCATGTAAATGCAAAATAAAGACCAATATTAACAACTCTCTCTCTCTCTCTCTCTCTATATATATCTCTCTATCTATCTGCTATAATAATATTATTGAGATGAGGTGCTGACGTGGCAGAACCTGATGGGACAGAGTAGCATGGGGAGCAAAAACAGTACTATAAAAGAGATGTGAGGAACAACAAAACTCAGCAGTTAAACTGAAACGTCGTCGTTGTGGGGACAAGCACTCTATTATTATTATTATTTTATTTATTTTATTTTGGGCAAGGGGATAATACAAATCTTGACAGAAATTATCAGACTGTATCTAAACGGACAGCTTTTTTGATTATGCCACTTTAAAATTTCACTACACGTGCATCAGGTGCATGAGAAAACATTAATTAATTAGTGTGTTTACACGTAATTAAACAAGTGATTATTCCACTTAAACCCTAATATATGTATTGATCCTCGATTGAGAGTTCTAATTATTTTGAGTTTCTTAGTACAGTTTTGGAAAATGGAAATTATAATGAAAGTTTTGTGGTTGAACTGTCAATTATCCAAACAATTAAGCCCTTCTAAGAGAATTCTCATCCACTAGCCACGTCACTTTACAATTACAAAAGCAAAGTTTGATTTTGCTTTCTTTGATTTTGTTTACAATCATATATGATGACGTTTAATAAATTGAATTATTTTTTATTGGATTACCGATAAACATGTCAATTGTACATAAAAGAGCAATCTTTAATTAAAAATGCGATTTTAATTATCAAGAAAACAATAAATAAATAAAATCCTTTCAATAGAAGATGGATTAAATTAATAGTATATCATATATATATATAGTTTCAACCAATCAAAAGATGGGACCTAACAGTAAGGGGAATGATGCATTTGTCCGATTCTAACATGTTCGGTAAAAAGAGTGTTTTTTTATTTTTGGGAAAAAAAGGAGTTTTAATCAAGAGTGTCTTGTGAATGATTGATGCATTTATTTCTTTCTTATGAATTATTTTTCTCAAACATGATGCCAATAATAAGTGGTTAAACTAAAGTTGGATTTGGTAAGTGTCAAAATCAGATTAAGAAAAAGAAGTTGGGGCAGAGCAATATAATTCCACCATTCATTGTAAGTTGTAACATAACAATCTTATATAACTTTCAATCGAGTTTGTTTCTTTGATTTGATCACGTCAGATGCTGATGTCAGCTTGATTCTCCTTGCATAGGTCTCCAACTTTATCAGAATCTCGGTTGGACGTCGTTTCTGTAACACCAGGAAGGTTTTCCCATCGTAAAAGTGAACCCCTTATTTATAGATATATCTCGTGATTTGAGAAACAAAGCCACCTCAGGGTTTTTAACCTGTGTCGCCGTATGGCGTAAAGTGCAATCATATACATTCACCACAAGAACAATAAACAGCAAGAAATACAATAAAAGACTCATCATTTACATTCACCACAAGGAAAATAAAAAGTTACCGGAAGAACAATAAATCCACAATTTTATAGACAGAAGAACTGCATATCATGATCATTGACCAATCCTGTAGAAACTAAACTATATAAATTAAACTGCTTACTAATAATAATTAACCAAAATATCTTGAATCTCCTACACATCCAGTTAGAACATATCCTCTCCCCCAATATTCAACCGAGTAATTCTCAACAAAAAAATCGGGGATCACAAAAAACTCTCAGCTCAACAAAAAAAGTAGTAGTAGGAAAATCAAGATTCAGCTCAACCCTTCGACCTGAGTTTGCAATGTGAATGTAGGCATACTCATCTTAGTGGTCCCCACTTCCCTCGTCACGCCAGTAAATACGTTTTGCCTATCGAATATCATTTGATCGTTTTTCACACTATCTTCCGACCCTTTTTGCCGTTTGGCATTACGGGAATTTTCAAGACCACTTCTTATCCACGCCATATTATTCAAATCTGCAGCCGCTGATGTCAGCTCGTGACTTGAAAAACTGGGCGTCTCCTCGTAGTCAACGAATTCCGGTCCCAATAATGAGCTGCGAGAAGAATGAGTGGTTGAATTCGAACAGCAACCGTATCCGCATTGTAATGGGATTATGCGGTCACCATCACACGATGCACCAACATCAAGAAACTTCTTGCATATTCCCAAATCCATTTTCGACGGTCGAATCATTGATCCCGTAATTGGAAGAACTGCTCCTGAGAATGTAGACTCATCGCTACAAGAATTATAGATATCGAATCCACCCACTTTAGCAATTGGGCGCGAGACCGACGGATTTTGTTTCGGAACACAAGTTTGAGTTTTGTCTTCTTCGTATTTTTTTTCAAGATCTTCAATCAATCCCACTTCGTCTATTTCTAAGGCGCTCGTCGAGGGTCCGCCGATTTGTAGAGTTTCATACTCGGGGTTTTTCGGATGGTTTATTGACACTGATCTCGTTTCCACTTCTTCGGAGGGCTTGAATGAGTTACGAGGTCCACCACCGGACAAGGTATCTTCTGAAGATGCTTTTGTCCAGTCGATACTGATATTAGGTAACATCTGAACAGTTAGTGGTGTTGATGATCTCCTAGGAAAGCCACACTTACGGCGTAATGTGGAATTCCAGTGGTTTTTTATTGCGTTGTCTGTTCTGCCAGGGAGAATTTTCGCGATCGAAGCCCATTTGTTTCCGTAAACTGCATGGGCTTCTAAAATTATACGATCTTCTTCATCTGCAGAACATAAGCACAAGCATAAGTAGACTTCAATAGAGTTACTGCCTTCGTAATAATTAACACGGTCACAGTTGTGAGACATGGTAACACGAAAGAAAGAAATCGGGGCTCCATAAATAGACAATTATCCGCGGCTTCAAAAGGAGAGCCACAACGTAAACTAAAAAACATTACAGAGGAACATCAACATAAATGAAAAGTTAAGCAACATATGCTAAAACGAAACAAATTTGTAAAGAACTCAACCAGAATTCTTGATAGATATCTTGACATCACTATTTTAGTGTAACAGCAGCAATTATAGAGCATTCGATGCCCTGTCTACAGGAGGTTACTTACTGCACAAGTGAACAATTTTTCAAATAGAAAGGCAAACAATGGATACCTTCATAGAACTTTTGACCTTCATTTAATTTCTACGAGCTACGATACGTACAAAATTCAGGGAAAAGATTAGAGTTCTGTTTCAATCAATTCATGGTTTCGGTCTTCTACACTGGTTACTTAGTTGAGGTTTAATGAAGTGGTAGCTTGTAAAAGAGTCATATTATATATAACCGTTATAGAGTTCAAATATTACAGAGATAGAAGTCGTTATCCTAGATAACATTTTCCACAAGACGCTGTAGTAATTCATCACCCAAACCTGTTCCGATGGGAGAGCTCAGCAAATGTACATAAATACAAAGCAAATGTGGCATTAGTCGATTACTTGGCCAAATATCTTTCGTTACGAAATGCAACAATTCACCGACATTTAAATCAAACTACTTCTCTAGTTCAATGCACATGTAATACTAGGGCTTGGGGGACAGTAAACAAAGGCAAAAGTCAAAACCAGCTATGCTCATTGATCAACACCATTGACATCTGCTCTACACGTACCTACAATGGAGCCTAATCGTTTAATCCAGTTATCTAAATGTAACGGAAACCAAAATGTAAAGCTACAGAACACAAACTTACTTGGCAAAAACTTTTGCATAATAAACAAGAAAAAAATAAGATCCTAATTTTCCATTGTGTGCTATTTTCAAACACCACCAAACTTGTATGAATATCCCCTCGGAACCCACATCAAACAAAGCAAATAAACCAAATTCCGAACCCAACACAATACCCAGCAACATCGAATCCAGAATTTTAATCAAAACCAACGACAAAACGAGCGAAAACAACACAATAGAAATCAATCCCAAATACCGAAGGCACAATAAGAACAGCGCAAAAATGAAAACCCACAAAAACCCAACTCTCCTTTTAACGAAGAAATAACCTAAACAAACAGGCTTGCAAATAATTTTATTTGGGATTAAAAAAAGCTTACCGGTAAAAGGTTTACGCATAACGCAAGGGTCGAGCTGATTACACCAGCGGAGGCGGCACGACTTCCCAGAACGCCCCGGAATTCCGCGGGCGATCAGGCTCCAGTTTCTCGCCCCGAACTTACCCACCAGCGCGCTCAGAATCGCGTCCTCTTGATCCGACCACGGCCCCCTTATCTTCCCCTTCGCCTCCTCCACTCCCCCTTCCACCGCCATTGCCTCAACCACTACTTGTCCTTCCACCTCCCTCATCTCCTCCTCCGTCATCATCCTCTCTCTCTCTCTCTCTCTCTCTCTCTCTCTCTCTCTCTATCTCTCTCTCTCTCTCTGTATTTTCCCGAGAATTCCGCCGGAGCAACTCTGCCCTGCAGCAAACCGTACCTAACAGAGGCCCCTTTGTAACTGCAAAACGATGGTGGGGGCAAATGGGAAAACAATTTTGAGTTGAAGCGACTTCCTTTTTGACGGTTTTGTACGACGGTTTTCCTATAATTACATCTGTGTCCTTTCACTAAAATGCTTCGAGTAAGCTATAAAACGACGTCGTATGCAAGAGGAGCCGCGTACTAGGTTTTTGTCTTTCATTCGGGGGTAATATAGTAACTGCACGATTTGTTGCCCTTTGGGGTCCCACTGTTGTTACAACCGCTTTTGCACTGGTCGCCGAGCAGGGTTTATTTAATTTAAAGCATCTAAAATCGATTTTTTTATTTTAGAAATAATTGAATAAATGTTGACAGGTTTGAAAGGTGGGAAAACAAATAGTTGTGGGCTAGGTTTTCTTTGCGCCGTGTTTGGTATTTTCCAAATTAACGCTTAATTTCCTTTTTTCTTTTTTTTTTTAGAGTAAATTACACTCACACCCCTGAGGTATGCTTAAATAACTGTAAGGTTCCTGTGGTATCGATAATTACACTCACCCCCTGAACGGTAGTTAAAAACTCTAACGGGATAATGCATTGGATACATTATTCCGATAGGGTTCTAATGGACTATTAATTTTAGCTAGTTATGGAGATAACATAGAGTTATGGGGAGTCATGGGGTGACATGGCTCCCCCAATATTTTTTAAATCACCCATAACTCTTTGTTGTCTTCACCACTTCCCGAAACCAATAGTCCGTTAGAACTCTATCGTAATAACGTATGCAATGCATTATACCATTGGAGTTTATAACTACGTCTCAAGGGGGTGAGTGTAATTATCGATACCACAGGGACCTTACAGTTATTAAAGTATACCTCAGGGGTGTGGGTGTAATTTACCCTTTTTTTTAATATCATTATTATCCTAAAAAATAATATTAGCTTAAATAATTTAAGAAAAAAAATATTTTTTTTAAGAAAATAAATTTAATTTAATAAAATTTATCTTTTTTCCGGAGTTTCCAAGAAAAATATTATTAGATTTGGTGTTTTAAGCAATTATAAAAATTATTAGGAATTGAAATTGGTGATATATTTTATGCATCAAAGCCTAATACAAAAGAAGCAGCAGCCCAAAGAGTTATTAGTTAGGCCCAATTTATATCCATTGGTTGGGCCTTTCACTAATTTGGGCCTGACCTATCTTAATGTATTTCAACCAGCCTGTGAGATTTTATTAATTTATTTAAAAAAAAAATAGTAAAATAACAATCGGGCCATAGTAAAGTAGCTACAGCTCAATACTAAGAATTGATCTCGGCCCATAATAACAATCGGGCCCGAGATAATGCATCTCGGTCTATTCATTGTTTGTTTCAGTGGATGTAGGATTACAAATTTACAATGATCCGAAACGAGTAAACTTGAGTTTTCGGACCGTTTGGTTTAATTCGCAACACAATCCATTCGTAGTGAAACACATTACGATTTAACTAAATCGAATATAGGTAAAAAATAAAAAATGAAAAATAAAAAAAAGAACGAATAAACGAAGGACAAATCATTAAAACAAAAGCAACATCCTTTAATTCTGGATCCATGTTTATTGGTTGACAATTGCGCCCTCGCTTTCAAAACCAACCAACCAAACCGCACAAACAAAAAGTTTCTCACACTAACCGCTACTTAGAAAAACTGTCCACAAGAATCAGATTTCTGTTCACCAAAAAGAAAAAAATAAAATAAAAAATGAGATCATAAAAATACATATATAGGCAGACATGAGATCCCCCACAAATGGAATTTTTTTTTTTTTGTGATGCTGATTAAATTTTTTCATGGCATCTAATTTTTTTAATTTTTAATTTCCTGCACAAATTTTTACCCCATCAATTGTGCTACGTACAGTTTCAGGAGACATGGTTTTTTTACCATTAGTTTGGTAGAGCTAGGGTTGATTTTAAGACAAGTGGTAGTGCCGGATTGTTACATGATGCACAGTCAGTAGTCAAAAGGTGTAAGGTGGCGAACAAGTTGGGCAACAATAGCGAAAGAGTGGGGCAGAAATGGTCGGCTTCCTACAAAGAAATATGTACTATCTGTCGTTTGAGGCATTTATATTTGAGAGCATCCATTCCATGCATGTGAACATATTTTACAATCTTCATTCAGGCATTTCCTCAGTCACCTACAAGGCAATGCATTCATCAATATTATTAAGTCCTATATATATATTCAGATCCAATTAACATAATCAATTAAGCTTTAATATTTGATTAGGTGAATGTAATGATTTGATTTAATGGAGCCCCAAATATAGAATTTTTAATTATTAATTAATTAATAACGAATGAGATTTTCCTTGTGATAACCCAATATTTACCCCCATTGTCATTAATTTTGTAATGAAAAAACTAGGATAGACAAAGAGATTAACATGGATTTTTCACGTAGTTGTCGTTAGAAGTGGTAAACGAGTTGAGTCGACTCGGGAACTCGATGAGCTGGCTCAAAAAAAGCTCGAACTCGAACTCAAGTTTTTCGAGTTCGAGCTTTCTGACGTGCTCAAGCTCGAGCATTTTCTTAGTTTGCTCGAGCGTATAGTTACAGTTCATTATTTATTGTGTAATTTGTACTGAATTGCATCCAAATATTCACTTCATTATCATTAGTTTTGTAATGAAGCAAAGTAAAAAGGTAGAGTGAGATTAACATATATGATGTCATCTCGGACCTTGATTTAGAATTAACTAATCGTTGAAAAGCTGTCTAATTTAAAAGGATTTAGCTTATATTTATAAAATAAGTTATAAAAACAAAATTAACTGTCCCATGTTAGTTAATTAGAATTAAAAAGGGAAATTAATTAAAATTAAATTAGAAGCACCGAGTTTGGAAAAGTGATCCAACAGTAGGAGAGTGTGGTCCTGCGTTAACATCACATGGTAGAAAAAAGAGGGAATATAATATAATATAATATAATATAATATAATATAATATAATATAATATAGTATTTAGCATCAAATTTCATGCAGTCTCAAAATCTAAATGCAATATATACTACTGACACACACTCTAAAATATGCTGCCATTTACTCAACAAATGTGGTCCTTTTTTTTCGAATTTAAAAATCATTAAAATAAAATAAATAATAAAAAAAAATCCAGTTCAATAACAGCACATGTCCTGCACAATTTTAGTAATAATATTTTTTTCTATTTATTCATATAACATTTTTGGGTAAACAGCACAAAAACTTATGATAAAGAAAGATTAATCTACATCATAAAATAAAATATAGTATAACACATATATATAATGTAGGAGAAATTAAGAAGGAAATTAAAAGAGAAGAGAGACCAGGACAAAAGAAGAACTGTGAGTGGAAGCTGGCACTGAAATCAGTGAAATTTATGTGCATTACATATTTTTTTTTTTCTTTTTTTTTTTAATGAGAAGAAAAGTCCAAATGGAATAGCAGATGGGGTAGCAAATTAAAGGCTGGGTGGGAATTGTATTCATGCACAATAAAGAAGAGACAATTGTACCTTCAATTTGTGATCTATGTTCTATATTTTAACTGCACACCATTATTTATTTTGTAAAACAATCCCTCCCCCGGGCCGGGCCGGGCCGGGCCGGGGGAGGCGACCAGCATAGTAAAGCCTGCAAATGTGTTTTAAGTGGTCCAATTGATGTTTCAGTAGTGTGCACAAAATCTACCATTATTTCTTATCATCACTTTTTTATTTTTGAATTTTAATCATATATCCCCACTGCTATATATTAATTAATATACTCCTCCAATTTTATTTAATTACTGTATGTTCTTTCTAACTTTTTCACCAGTTGAAAATATAATTAGGTTGCTGGATTAATAAATTCGATTTTTTTTTTTTTTTTTTTTTTTTTAATCTTTGTTTGGTCCAAATGGCAGTCAGATTTGTTGAACTGTAATATATGTATATATACTGTAATACCACTGTTAAAATTTGGATTGCCATTCGCATTAAAAAACTTGTCAAATGTTAGGTGACTGGTCCAATATTGAGAATTAATAAATATGTATACCAATTTATCTATATATATATATATAGACAAACAACAAGAGCTCTTGATTAGAAATAATGACATGTTGTGTTAAGGGTAAGAAGGTCAGCACGTCTAGGTAAAAACCTTAATTATAATTATGATAAAATGTCTAAAGGCACCATTTTTTTAATTTATTTTATTACTATTATTATTTTATTTATTTTGTTTCCAAGGTCATAAAACTTGTTATTGTCGATATTGGAATGTTGGGCCATCCTTCAATTTAATGACAGGAATAAATTATATTGGATGGCAGACTGGCGGATTGCTACTTTTTTTTATGGTCCTTGAACCATCACTTATTAACCCTAATTAATCATATTACTTATTAATCACGTCAGCATTATGTAAATTCAAGATTTTAGGTGTTTGATGAATAATATATATATAGATCATGTACTTTAATTTTCTCCCAATTGCAAAACAGATCTACACAGATTTTTAACTTAGTTCTTAAACACTCAAATACATGTTTTGACTTTGAAAAAAGTTAATCATATTATTAATTAATTAAGCATGATTACATTTATCCTTTCCCCTTCACCTTTTGAGATAGTCTAGTGTTAATTATCAAAAAAAAAAAAAAAAAAAAAAAGATAGTCTAGTGTTAGTTTGATCAACAGATTTTCTGAGGGAAAAAAAAACGAATAATGATAATAATATTTTTTTAATTATTACTCCAAATAGAAAAATCTTGCAAGATTCATCACCATTTTTTTTCTTCTTTTTCTATTAAACAATAATAATTTATGAAATAATTAACATATAGATTAACCCCAATAGTGTAGTGCCGGTCAATTAATCATCACATGCAAACAAAGATATAGCCACATTGTTTCATGTATCTTTGACCGTGATAAAGAATTAATTAACGTAATTACATCATAAATGAACCGACTATATTTGGTGAAGGTTACACTCGATGTATTTTTATCGTTGATTTACACATACCAATGTAAATGTGTGTATGTGTGTTCGTATGCTTATGAATAGTAAAATCACCTCTGTATTTAACTCGGTGTAGCATAATATAAACAAGATAAGACCCAACAGGCAGTATCTCTTAAGATCTCCTATTGTATGTTTTTCAGGGTCAATTATATGATAACACCAATCAAGAAATTAAATTAGTGGAGTAAAATATTTTTTTTCTTTTAAAAAATAAATAAAAAATAATTAAATATTGTCTCCAACGGCTCAAACCCATTGACCCACCAGTCAACCACACAAACACATGGTGAAAGACTATAATTAATCATTCTTGATTTCATAATATGGTGAGAAAAAAAGTTGGTGTGGGTTTGAATATTTGTTGGGATTGTTTGCAAAATAAATAAAATCGTAATTTATCCAAATAAAATATATATATTTTAATTTAATTTTAATATTTAATGTAAACTAATTAAACGCACTATAAACTTCATCAAGTAATGTCTATGAGATCGAATTTGTGGGAAGAATAAATAACATAAACCTGGATGGGACCATGATAATCATAAAATAAAAAATAAAAAATAATATTTTAATTATAATAATAATATTTCACCCAACTTGTGAGGAATTTCTAAGAAGAAAATGGCTGACCCACTAGCCACGATTTCAAAATTAAAAAACAAAAATATTAAAAAAATTAAAAATTCTCAATTATCTTGAGACCTGAGACTTAATCAATCCATCTGATTTGACTTGATTTTAATATTTTAGAATAAGAATTAACAAACTTCAATTTTATTCACTGTTTCATACTATTTTATTATTAATATATCCTCAAGTATATATTGAGATGGTGCAGCTCCAGCTCCAAGCCAAAAATAATTTGAACATATTAAATTACATCTGAGATAGTATAAAATAATAAGTAGAATCAACATAATTTAATTATTAAAAAGACATGCAATAATGTTGAAAAAACAAAATACTCAGGTCACATTTTCACAATAAATGCAGAAATTAAAATTATAGTAATTCGAGGAGTTAGATGTTACACCTTATTATTTACACCGGGTGTATATTTATTAACTATAGGTGAGGGTACCAACTAAACACACATACATATTAGTGTATGTGTGTGATTATGTGTAAATCTACGGTTCACTGTCAATCAGTGTAAATAGTAAGAATAATCGCAATAAAAACACATGCAAGTAAAAAACGTTATATATAACAAAACAAAGTAGGTAAAAATTAAAAGAAGAATGAAAAAAGGTAAAGTTTTTTTATATGTGAAAGGTTAGTACTTAATTTCGTTAGAGAGCAGTTTCTTTTATATTGACAAAGTGTTAAGCCACTTTCTTCTGTCTCTTCACCACAAAAAACACACACACACACACACACACACGCAGAGAGAGAAAGAGAAATCACAGTGTGTGTATGTGTGTGGGGAAGCTGCGGCGCGGCTTCTACTCTGCATTTACAGCCGCTAAAGGAGGAGTCCAAAGGGATCGCATTGATCCCAATTTATATATATTACATATACATATATTTTTCCTAATTATTTTTTTTTTCTTTTTTCAAATTTATTCTTCTTGAATATTTATTAATTTTGGATCATGCTATCCCTTGGGATTCATCCTTTGGTTGCTCTATAACATGGAGATCTGGTGATCGAGGAGCTTTATCGAATCATGCAACAAAAAATGCGTCGTCCATCGATTCGTATAATCGGCTCCAACAACTCAAATCTATACATATATATGTGTGTGTGTGTGCGCGCGCGCGCAAAGAAGTGCAACAAATACCAAATATACCAAGTAAGTTCTAGTTTATTTCAAATCTATACATATATATGTGTGTGTGTGTGTGTGTGTGTGGTTTGATCCAAGGGTTTTGATGGTTTTTAATTCCATCTTTTTTGTTGTATTTGTGAAAAAAAAAAAAGCAGGTTTTTATTTTCTTTGTTGACAGGAAATTAATCTCTTACACAGGTAAATATGTGTACATACATACACACAAATATTTGATTTTCGATGGTGGAGATATAATCTTAATTATTGATATATAATGAAATGTATTTGAAATTGAAGTGAATTAATTTATTCTGGGAAGTTTGTAACTATGAAGCAAGTAATGGAGGAGGGGGTATAAATTAAAGTATATGGTTTTAAGTTTCTTATATATATTTATATATATATATATATATAAATATATATGGATTATAGAGATATATTTGATCAGTTGTTGATATATTGAATATAGTGCATAGAATGATTGCACATAAAATAGCATGCTTCCTATTTCTGCAATAATTGACATTCTTGTATTGCCCCCAACCACTGGGAATTAATGAAACAGTGCTTCTCCAAATACTTTTTAATATATATATCATAAAAAAAAACATGAATAAAAAATGCAGTTATCTTATTTTACATCACAAGCTTTTTGTTTTACATATGATTTGAATAAAAAATATATATAAATTAGTCACAAGACTTCTACTGCTTACACTCATTAAATAAATAAATAAATAATGGACTGGTAGCTGCCTAATAACCCTCCAAACGAATTAATAAATTATCATATAGAAATTTTTGTTATATAATCAGTAAAAACAATTAAAAAATTAAATAAAAAAAAAATAATTACTATATGATGACCCTTGGTATAATAATAATAATGCAGTCACACATTAAGGTGTGAAGAGTTGAAATGATCACATGGTTTGAGGACTTTATTTAGAATCCAAGGTATAGGGAAATTAAATTATTAATAATAATAAGTTTTAAGTCTTTATTAATTTTCTTACTTTGAGTGTCCCAAAGCCAAAGCCAAAGGAATCATACTACATGTGGTCTTCAGACTTTTTTTTTATTCAAATAAAGCTTCCTTTACTTATTTATACAATTTATAAAAAAAAATGTACTTTGTCCGGTGGTATATATTGCCTCTTCCCGTGTATGTTCGTATATGCTACATCAGGTGAAATACATCGGATGATCTTGAACCATCAATCGATATAAATAATTCTTGTATTTATATTTATATAGATCAATAGTTCAAATTCAGTCAGTGGATTACACCGATCAGATGAAGTATCTCATAGACCGCTCGGTGTTGGAATGAGGTGTGTGTGTGTGTGTGTTGGCAGTTCAATACTTGAATATGTAAGAATTTTGGACAAGAGACTATAGTACTAGTACTGTAGGAAAATAAACAACATGCCTTCAGTATGATGAAGAAAAAAATAAAATGTAGGCCAAATTAGTGTCTCCCTCTTGGACTACAATTTATTTGAGTATAGAGAAGCTGCCAAATAATATAATATATGATGTTTCAATCCATAATTCAAACTCATGTCGACAGACACTACTTATTCAGTCCCACTATATGTACATCCATTTGGAATTGTTTATACTATATAGCTAATCAGTCCTTCCTATATAGCTAGGATTAATTATTGAATTGCATTTTTTTTTTATTTATGACAATAACTATGTGTTCGTGTAGATAGTAACGAATTCAGGATTTTGGTTAAAATTGTTTGGAATTCAGTAGTACGATAAAAAAAGTATTGCAATAAAATGGCGAGTTTTTGAAGTGTAAGAGTTGAATTGTTTAGATTTTGAGAGGAATTGTAATATTTTTGGGAAAAATAAAAATTCATATCTCTCCTAAACTTCCCCTGTCTTCGGCCCGAGGTGCCTTATAATTTAATTAAATACTATAAAATTTGTTCAACTATTGGGTGTGCAAACAGGCCAGAACAATGCTCCATCGACGATTTGATGCCCACAAAGAATCAGTTGAAATTCTGACACTACGACTGCCGGTACTCAATTCTAGAAGATTGCACCAACTTAGCATCCTCGTAACCAATTGAGCTATATATTATACCGGCGTGCATAATCTATCCCGTTTGCATATAAGAATGTGGAAATAAATAAAATACATTTTAAAATTTCACCGGATATTTTCTATTGGGCCTCAATGAATATACTTCTGCAAAATCTGATCCAAATATACAAGACCTTATTAAATGTAAGCAGCCTCTTCATTTACATGCCCGATTATATATATATATATATATATATATATATATGGGCTGCCTAAGCCCGTATTTTTTTTTTTTTTTTTTTTTTTTGGTAAAAGTAACATCAAATAAACCAAAATTATATGTGACAGTTTACGACTTTACCCTTGTACTCTCCCGTTTGCTACTTCACACAGAACGAACTTCCCCCAAAATCTCTGAGCAGCAAAATTAGAAACCCTAGTTTAATCTCAGTCCCAGCTAAAATGCCTCACTCTTGTGCAATGTTCTCGGCTCCCCACTCAAATCATCCATTTTCGACTCTGATTTTCCTTTCAGCCCTTTTCTCAGCTCTCCATTTCTCGGTTTCTCTCCCCAACAAACCCTACTTCGGTTCGAATCTCGTTCTCATAGGCGACGCCAGGTTTACGAACAACAGCTCGTGCATTCAGCTCACTAACCCTAAAATTTCCTCTCCCAGCTCTGGATTCCTCACTCAGGGAAAGCCCATTAAGCTTTTCAGCTCGAATTCGAAGGGTAGAAACCCAATTTCATTTTCCACCGACTTCACTTTCTCAATTTCGCCTCACAATGGCGACGGCATGGCGTTTCTGGTCGTGCCCAGAAACTTCGTTTCGAAGTTTCCCAGCGGAAGTTTCGGGGTTCTGAAAGAAAGCCGGTTTTTCGGGGTGGAGTTCGATACTTCGGCTGATGATAATGTGGGCGATGTGAATGGTAATCATGTCGGTGTAGATGTGGGAAGCCTTGTATCTGTGAAAACGAGCAATGTTTCGTCGATCAATTTGGTTCTGAATAGTGGAGTAAAATTGCATTCTTGGGTTGATTACGATTCGAGTTCGAAAAAAATCGAGGTTAGGTTGAGTAAATTTGGGAGTTCTAGGCCTTATAATCCTCTGTTAGTGTATAAGATTGATTTGGGTGATATCTGGAAAAACGAAGAAGTTCTTGTGGGATTGAGTTCATCGAGTGGGAACTCAATGCAGACTAGCAATGTGTATTCGTGGAATTTCAAGACAAGGAATATTCCGAAATGGCTGCACTCTCAACCGATGGATCCGCGCGCAGTTTCCAACGACCACAGTGAGGAGAAATTAGCACAAAAGAAAAAGATTTGCGCTTTCGGTGTTCTTTCGGGATTGGTTTTCATGACAGGGTGCGGTGCGTTATTAGCCCTGATTGTTCTGTTTTTGTGGGCAATGTTCGAAAATAGCTCGGAGGCAGTGTTGACTTTTCCGGCAAAGTGTGGTGTGCATTCCGGGGATTTCAGGTACGAAAAGATTAACGTAGTTGTAAAGGATAACATGGCTAATGCTAAGAATTAGAGTACGTAACTCGTGTGTTTGTTTATGTACTTGTGTGTATTTAAATCTTTTGTAATATAATGCGATGGACCATGTTGGTTTACGACTGTTTTAAACGATGGTGGAAGGTGTTTGAATTTGTGTATTTGTTTATCGTCTTTTATTCTGTGCATTTTTACCAATAGAACAAGTTTATGCTGATAATCGAACATAATTTGGAACATTTACAATGTTGAATATTACGAGTGTTCTTGCAATAACCTTGTGAACGCATTCATATGTGTGTGTGCGCGCGAACATTGTGATTGTGTGTGGATCTACACTGTAAAAGTACCCGGTTTTTCGGTGGAGTTCGATACTTCGATTGTACTGCATTGTTTTAAACTTTATTTATTCACATTTCTTGAGTTTATTGATTTTTTTTTTTAATTCCCAATAATAGTAAGACATTATCCTTTTGTTTTTAATGTTGTCACCTTTTGTCTTTTTAATGTATTTTGATTTTTGACTGTGACTTGGAACATTTGTACATGATAAACCAGCTAACCTAGGTGAGAAGTTTTTAATGCTCAAAATACAACCATAAATAGAAAAATTCTATTCTAATTCGATTTAACTACCAACTGACTTAATCATGCATATAGGCATATATCCCTATCACCAAACAACCCCATTAATGGTTTTATTCGCATTAATCTTATGGTTATATTAATCACTCGATAATCATTTTAGGATGATTAAGGGCCCGTTTGATTACCTCTTATTGGCCTCTTAATGAGTAATTTCTGCTGATTTGGTCAGCATAATAATATTTAGCGTGTTTGGAGGGAATCTCTTAACTGAAAGATTTATTGCTTACCGATTCAGCCGCAATTCTCACGCTTATTCGGTCAGACCTAGTTCTGAATATTTTTTTTATTTCTTTTATCCATAAATAATCTTGTAAATTCTCACGCTTACCGATTTTTTTATTTCTTGTAAATTCTTGGAAATAATTTTTTTTATTTCTTTTATTTCTCACGCTTACCGATTTTTTTATTTCTTTTATTTCTTTAATGTATTTCCATATTTTAGTTATTTTTATTTGTGAATGTTATATTTATTAGTTGTTTGAATTTTATATTTTATCTATGTTAAATATTTTAAATTTTAAATTTTATTGATTATGTAGATCATGCTTATTTTTTTTTTGTTTATTTATATATATGTTAATCAAAATTAATTAATTAACAAATAAAATGCCAGCATTAAATAATGGTATAATAGGAAAATAACAATATTCAGACATTCAATTATCAAATGGACTTAATTGCTCAGCATTCAGACACAACTCTTATCCATTCAGACACATATTCAGCATTCAGCAATCAGCGCTTAATCCTGTCAAACGGGCCCTAAGACTTTAGTTGACTTATCAAACATAAATTATTATTATTATTATTTTAAAATACTAATTTAAATGAATAACTCAATTTCGGGCTATTATTGTGTTATGAAAATTTTAAATTTTAATTAGTTATACTTAATTTTATCAACCAAACGAGGACTAAAATGATAATGTTAATTTTTCTTCTTAGAACTTTGCAAGAAGGGGTAATATTAGAAAAAAACAATTATTCGGGTGAGGGAGTATATATGGCTGAGGAGGGCAAATGTGGTACTAAATAACAAAGCATTGACTTTGATTGATTAATATTCCTTAATTTAAAACAACAGGTCATTATAATTTTATTTTGGGTATTTACTTATTTAGTATTGTGAAACACCAAATAATCTCTTAATATAAATCATTCAGATAATCATATTAAGATTTATAAAATTCATTTAATTCGATACAATTATATTTACATAATTACGAGACTATGTTATATCTAAAATTTGTGATTATCCAAAATCTAAATCTTATTTGTAGATTTCTGTATTTAGTGGAGATTGAGTTTAGACTAAACACCTCAATAAAATTTGGGTTTATTTTTACAAGAACGAAAAAGAAAGGTGCACCACAATAAGCACCAATGGTAAAATTACACGTGGCAGGACACAAAAAAACATTTCCATGAAAAAGAAGCGCTAAAAACGAATTAGAGTAATAAATCAACCAACCAAATAAAAAAACAAATAACAAAAAATCCAGAAGTTGCGCTTCGTCGTTGAAATAGTACCGCCTCAGTGATTAACGATATTTATCGAAGATCGTGCCAAATCACTGTTGCCCCCACCCCCAACATTCGGCCCCCCAGCAACCCCCCTCCTCCCTGTAAAACACTCTCGGTACGCATTCACTGTGTTTTTTTATTTTCTTTTCTTGCCATAATAATACATATATTTTTTTTTTGGAATTTAATGATGGGTTTTAATTCTTGATTTTGTTTATTAAAAAAAAAATACAGAGAGAGAGAGTAAAGAAAAGGGCTGGCTTCTGAGGAGGAGGAAGAAAGATCTGTGCTTTTGGGAGGAGGTGAACCGGAAGTGAAGGCGGTGGAAGAAATGGGTGTCCAACAACCGAACGACGCCGTTTTGGGCTCTGGCTCTGGTTCTGGTGGTAGGGTATATTCCGATGACCATATGATCGTCGAAATTCCAGAAACTGCCCATCTTATTAGTCAAGGTTTTTAATTTCATTTTTCTTTTATCAATTTCATATTCTATTTTTGGGGCTTGTCCTTTTGTTTTGATTGTCCTGGTGTGTGTGTGTGTGTGTCTGTGTGTTTTGGTTGGATTTGGTAAATTTTCCCATTCTATTCTTGATTTCTTTTTTCATTTCTTTTGATTTACTTTTGTAGAATTTTCCGTGATTGGTTGAATGTTTGTTGAATTGTTGTATTTTATGGTCAACGAATTGATTTTTATGCTAAAATACTATAGCAATTACTCATTGTTTAAATTTTTTCAGCCCGTTTTCTTTTCATCGTATGATGTTTTCGTTCCAAATCGGAATACAAATCGGAATTTTAGGAATTCTTTGTTCCGAAACCATGAATTTCCATATCAAATTCCTGGAACTTTTCGGGTTCGAGATTCTGTTCTGTATCCGACAATTTTACGCATCACAATCACAATATTCTTTTGGGGAAGCCACAATTTTTAAATTAAATTCAGTGTCGGGTGTAATCGAAAAAAATGTCATATACGAAAGTTTGATAAACCGTCAATTATTATATTATCATTTCAAGTATTTTGAGCTTAATCTCACCTCCCATGTAAATACAGATTCATGGATACAAGTGGCGTTTGTTCTTACAACCGGGATAAACAGTGCCTATGTTCTTGGATATTCTGGCGCAATCATGGTTCCATTAGGTTGGATCGGTGGTGTGGTTGGACTAATTCTAGCAACAGCACTCTCTTTGTACGCAAACGTCTTAGTTGCCAAACTTCACGAACACGGAGGGAGGAGGCATATCAGATATCGAGACCTTGCTGGATTTATATACGGTAATATAAAAAAAAAAAAAAAAAAAAAGCAATCTTGAAATAAGTTAAAAAACCATTAATCGTTATAAAAATATAGTTTCGTTAGATGACGATTTGTGATGTAGGTAAAAAAACATATTTCCTCACGTGGGGTCTGCAGTACATGAATCTATTCATGATCAATGTTGGGTACGTCATTTTAGCTGGCAGTGCTCTTAAGGTAACGTATTTTTGTCCTAACGAGAATCTTTAAGGCTTTTGTAGCTGCTGACGATGTTTTTGATGATTTTTTTTTTGTTTCGATTATTATATGCGTGCAGGCTATGTATGTTCTTTTCCCTTACGACAGTGTATTGAAGCTTCCGCATTTCATTGCATTCGCTGGGCTTGCAAACATTGTTTTTGCTATATGCGTACCCCATTTGTCTGCTCTGCGCGTTTGGCTTATAGTTTCAACAGTGATTAGTCTCGTCTACATTGCCATAGCTTTCGCTCTGTCCCTTAAAGATGGTAACTTTTACTACATTGTGTCGAATCTTGATTGTATTGAAGATGTTGTTTCGACGTCAAGTAGTTCAGTTTTTTTTTTTACCGTATAATTTTGTGTTTTCGCAGGCATTGAAGCTCCTCCAAGAGATTACGATATTCCCGGAACAACAATCAGTAGGGTTTTTACAACCATCGGTGCATCAGCAAATCTGTTTTTCGCCTTCAACACTGGAATGCTCCCGGAAATACAGGTGTGCGATACAAATCTCGATATTCGACCTAAAAGAAATATTAAAAAAAATTAGCTTGTGCTAAACTCACGCCGTTCATTCATCTTTGGTGACAGGCAACAGTGAAAGAGCCAGTTGTCGGAAACATGATGAAAGCTCTGTACTCTCAGTTCACACTCGGAGTTCTCCCATTATACGCAGTCACCTTTACTGGATACTGGGCTTACGGATCCGAATCATCGGCCTATTTGCTGAACAACGTAAACGGCCCTATTTGGCTAAAGGCTGTCGCTAATATTTGTGCTTTCTTGCAGACAATTGTTGCCGTGCATGTAAGTATCAACTACATTTTTTTTTATATATACTTTCTATTTATTATTAATCTCATTTTACGCTCGTTCGTTTTTTGTTTTTTTTTCTGGGGGGGGGGGCAGATATTTGCGAGTCCGATGTACGAGTGTTTGGACACAAAGTACGGAGTGAAAGGAAGTGCGCTGGCTGTAAGGAACATAGCTTTCAGAGTTGTGGTGAGAGGGGGTTATTTAGGGCTGACGACGTTTGTTTCGGCTTTGCTGCCGTTTTTGGGGGATTTTATGAGCTTAACGGGGGCGATTAGCACTTTCCCACTGACGTTTATTCTTGCTAATCATATGTACTTAATGGCTAAGAAGGTGAAGCTTAGTTCACTGCAGAAGAATTGGCATTGGTTGAATGTCTGGTTTTTCGGGTTTCTTTCTCTTGCTGCTGCTGTTGCTGCTATTAGGCTTATTGCTGTAGATTCCAGCTATTACCATGTTTTTGCCGATTTGTAGTTTTTTATTATTAATATTTATTCGAGGGTAGTAGTAGTCCTTTAAAATTGTTTTTATTTTTTATTTTTTTCAAATTATAAAGGTATAAATTAAATGAATTGTTACTTTTGTTTTTTGTAGAAAAATTCTTCCTTGTTTAATTGCAGTCTCTGTTTTTCCAGAATTTCGGCTATTTTTCATTTGTGTTTCGTATTTCTTAAAGAAGGTTCAGCATCTTCGAAAGCCAACTCCGAAATAAAACAAGTTATCAGATGTTTAATAGTAATTCAAAGAAAACAATATCATTTATTTTTAATCAAATAATACATTAATGTAATAGAAAACAAAAAAAAAAAATCACAACAAACCCTCAAACCCTAATAATTGAAATCAAAATCACATGCATGTGTGTGTGTGTGTGTGTGTGTGTGTCAATCTCATGCTTTTGGCAAAAGCACTTGATCAATAAGATTCTTCAGATTCCGATAAGACGAACCCTCCGCAGAATCTCGAGCAAGATTCTTCCACTCAACAGCCTTGTTCCGCATCTGCCGTCCCTCTTCTCCGACCATCAACTTCGTCACAAGGGTTTCGACACCATTCCTCTTCACATCACTATCAATCTCCATTCCCACTCCCCATTTAGTACAACAATACCAGCAATTCGTCTGTTGCTCCGCAAAAAACGGCCAACAAATCATCGGCACGCCACTGCATATACTTTCGAGAGTCGAATTCCACCCACTGTGAGTTAAGAATCCTCCCACAGAAGAATGGCTAAGCACCTTCTCTTGTGGGCACCAATTTGCCAGCATACCTCGTTCTTTAGTTGCGTCGAGAAATCCATCCGGAAGAACAGCCTTTTCGCCTGAAACAAGATTAGGTCTTATGATCCATAAAAATGGCTGCTTGCTATTGGCTAGCCCCCATGCAAACTCATTCAGCTGATCTGGCGTCATCACGGTTATGCTTCCGAAGTTTACGTACACGACCGAGTTGGGCTCTTTCGTGTCGAGCCATTCGAGACATTCTTGATCCTCTTTCCAAAGGTTTGATCCTAGCTCTTTCAAACCCTCGTCTTTGATGTGGTACTTTTCGATCAGATTTAAGGGGCCGATGGGGTAAATCGGGGGCAGGAACGAGGAGAGTGCATCGATGGTGTCTCGTTCGAGTTCTTCGAATGTGTTGAGTACAATAGCGGAAACTCTCTTGGCTCTTTTCGTCTCTGCGAAGATAAATTGTATCATGAAATCGTCTTCGTTTGTTGTTCTTACGAAACTCGGCATGTCTTTCATTCTTATGCCTTCCATGCTTGGTATTCCTTCTATCACAGTTTCCAAATATCCATTTGTGAAGCAACTTGTATCTGTTAATCAACAACAATGAAAATGGAAATATAAATTATTAGCTTAATAACCCTAACGATTCATCATGTTACGTTGTTTTTGCATGACAAGAATACGTACAGTAGAACCTCGATAAATCAATAATCTCGTTTAAATAATAATTTCTTACGGTCCGGTCTCGGTAAAAACGTACTATATTATTAATAACTCGATAATTTAATATTTCGCTAAATTAATAAAATTTTATTGGTGCTGTATTAATTTATAGAGATTTAACCTGCAAGTGGAGCATATCCCTTTTGAAAAACATATTCGTACTGCGTGTAAGCATAGAAGCCGCACGCGCTGGTAGTCCAGAATAGAATTTCCGGGATGCCGAGTTCTTCGGCAGCGTCGGCGGTGAAGCTCATCACCCCATCGGAAACTATGCATGATACAGGTGGCACTTCGGAAGAAGCGGTGTCGTTGAGCTTAGCAAGGAGGTCTCTGAACGGAGCTAGGCACGTGTTGGTGGTGGACTCACACAGTGACGGAATGTCCTGCGTGGCGTCGGCGTCGTCTTCTGACGGCGGCGGAAGGCCGTCGGGGATGGTCTCGAAGCGGAACGACGGCAGCCCGGTCAGAGAGTCGGGGCCCCTGGATTTGAGGAGGCGGTGGTGGTTGTATTCTGTGTTGACGAAGGTGATGTGGAAGCCATTGTTATGGAGGAGCTTGGCGAGTTTGAGCATGGGGTTTATATGGCCCTGTGCCGGAAACGGAATGCAGACGGCGTGGGGTTTCACTTTTCCGGCGGAAGCCATTGATGATGATATATTGATCTGGTTAATATGTATGGATTGATAATGGTGATGATGATGAAGTATCAGCGTTCTAATCTTCCATTTATATAGGTGTCAAGAAATTATTTAAATATTAGGGAATCTGCCACCTAACTTTTGCGAACATTTGGGAAGTCAAAAAACATCGATAACTCTAATTTGACCTGTCATCTACATTTTTTTCTAATTTGTTACAGTTTAATTTACCCTTTTAATTTAGCAATCGCTGTTAATAAGCTTAGCCCTATTTAATTTTTTTTAATATATACTAGAAACTCCATAAATTAATAATTTTGCTTAAATAATAATTTCTTTCGGCCCTCGATCCAGTTAAAACATAGCAAACTATTAGTTCGAAAATTTAATATTTTATAAAATTAATAAAATTTTATTAGTTTCGATTGTATTAATTTATACATATTTAACTGAATAATTATTTCAGTTATGATTGAATAGTTAAGAGTTAAAGAAAAAGTCCAGATTTTTTTTATTTCTAAAATTGTTAAAAAAGACAAAAAAATAATGGGTGGGAGATATCGAATTGGGTCAAAGAGGGCGCTCATATACGGCAGTTTGTGTTGTTACGTCATGTTTACGCACTCATTGCCGTAATGAATCCATATTTGGGCCTACCTATTTGAACGTGTTGGAATTGAATTGGGCCTCTTATGCATGGCCTACATATCATGCATTCACAAATTTGACCAAATAATTCTTTATATTCGCCCAAATTTGAAGGAGGGATTAATCGGTCTCCGAGGCGGAGGCGGTCCAAAACCTTTACGATTTTAGTGTAAAGGTTTGAAAAATCGGTTTTTTGCCTGTGAGGCGGTTTTAGGCGGTCTGAGTCGGTCCGAGGCGGTCTGAGGCGGTCAAACCTTTAAGGCGGGTCAAACTCGGTGGCAAAAATCGGTCAAAAATCGGTTAAAAATCGGTTTTTTTTTTTTGTTTTTTTTTTTTTTTCCTTTTTATAATTCAAAATAAAAGTTGGATTTTAATAAAAGAAAATATGAGTTTATGCCTTATTTTGTTTATGCTAATTGTTATTGTTAAAGAACTAATGATGTATGCTACGAATGTTCAAGAATAAATGTAAATTCGAAAAAAATGTTTTTTTATTTAAATTTTATAAGGATATATATGTATTATGATCTTATGATTATTAAACTTTTATTATGTTATTAGAATATATACATGATGGAGATATAACTATGTTTAAATATCTTTTTATATATGTTTGGAGTATTTATAAATAATATTTAGAAATATATTATATTAAATTTTAAAAACTGATTTATTTCCGATTTATCACCGATTAATCACCGCGCACCGATTAATCGTGAGTCGGTGCCTGACCGACTCGGACCCGATTACCGATTTTTACAACCTTGAATAAAATACATACATAATCACGTAACAGAAAAATATGAATAAAATTATACACAACCACATAATCACGTAATATGCACGTGATTTGCACTTTATTTGCACATGTGTGTGTGTGTGTGGGTGGGGGGAAGAGATGCGGGTTCTCAAAGATTTCTTTGCTCTTTTGAAAAAATAATGATCTGTAGGACTGACATGAATTTGGCAATTGAAATTCCACGAAAATTGGTAAAAGTTGGAATGTATTCTCCAATTTCTTTCGATTCTGATTTTGGAACAACGTTTTCTACTCTGATTTCCAATATTTCGATTAAATATTGTTTTTTATTTATTTTTTTAGGATTGAAATTGAAATAATGGGGTTGAATGATTTAATGTACGCCGCTGTGCCGGAAGCATGGGAACAGGACATCGATGTCCCTGATATGATATTGTATGGAATTATCCTTTGTCTTCAGGAGATCCGTAACAGTGGCAGCCATGAACCATGCAACAAGAATACTTACCCCCGGTGCAGTAAGATCAGGCTGAAAAAAAGACTGAGAATACAGTTAATCAAGTTTCCAATCGAGAAGTGATCGGATTATAACAAATTGAAACCCTGAGTTACAAATTCGCCTTGAGGATTTCTCTTGTTATGGCATTTGGCCCCCTCGACGAGAAGCTGAGAACTAATGGAGCCGAATAGTCTTTCACTTCAAAACTCTTGAAAATCCTTGCTGTTGGGGTACTTGTTGGGGTACTGCGTGATTAATATAACATAATTAACAACTGAAGGAAATCCTAAGTTTTTGTTTATTTATTAGAGGCAAGTGAAATAACCTTGTGTTGATATATTCATAGACTCGGGCACCGTGATCTGGTCCCAATGTAGAGGCCGGAAGGGGAGGAAATATCATTGCCTACGCCCTGCATTATCGTGCCGGTTTCACCAGCAGGAGCTGCTCCCTCAGCATCAGTCCCCCAATCGCAGAAGACAATGGCACCCTTCACTAATTCCGGGTCCAATGAGCCCAGTTCACAATACCTGCATTTTTATTGTTATTTATCAGTATTTCTGTTTTAAAAGGACAAAAGTATACATAAGAACTCGAAAACAATTAATTTTTTTTGTTTTTACCTTGATACAGAGCCATCAAAGCCGTCTGCAGTATTTGGCACGTTTCCTCCGTAGACTAGAGGGTAACCGTCATTTTTCAGTTCAAATGTGTTTATTGCTACTCCCTGGATAAAGTTGCAGATATTAATTAGTAGACATTTATCACAAAAAATTAGAAATCTTCAACAAATTAAATAATGTAATATTTTAAACATCACCTCATAAATCCTGTTGTTGCCCAACTGCACATTGGCCAGGAATGTCCTGTCTATCGTATTTGCTGCAACGGACAATGACCAAGGAGATGTATTGACGATGGATTCGGGCCAAATGCCCGTATAGAGCATTCCAATAATGAGGTCGCTTTCAGTTGTTGTTCGAGGGACATTCATGGGGAAGCCCATGAAGTCCCACGATCTAGTTGTGTGAAGTTTCTTTTTGGTGCTTGGGAATACTGAAATCACGCCATCGAGACCTGAATAATCAATTATAGAACATCTATAAGTCGGTACAAAAATAAATTTAATAAATAAATAAATACAACGAAACTGTACAATGTTGGATCACTTACTAGCAATCTCGTTTTTCTCTTCCTGAGACAGCTTCGCAACGAAGCCATTGAAGCTTCTCTTTAAGCTGTGCAGCCAAGAATCTTTCCCCCTTTGACTGATCACGGAAATAAATAAATCAAAAGTTAATATGATAATGATATACCTAATGGGCCGACCCAATGGGCCCTAATTTATTAAATAATTAGGCCCAATACACGAAAGTATTCGGGCCCATTACCCGAAAGCCAAAACACCTTCAAAGTAAGGCTTGGGCCCAACAAAATAAGCCCAACTCAGTCAACGACATATAAATAGAAGTTTTATTCATTTGTAAAGGTACGTTCTCATTATTGACAATCGACTACGAGTTTATTCTCTCTACTATCTCTACGATCCGTACATCTGACTTGAGCGTCGGAGGGGTTTCCGCCGGATCAACCCCCGGCTTAGTTCACGTGTGCTCATTTCGCAGGGACCTCAGGAACATCGAGTTGACTAGCTACTGATCAGCTTTGCTCTCCCTGCTCGTTTCCTATACTATCCTAGGTGAGCTATATTTTAGCATCATCATTTTAGCGCCGTCTGTGGGAACGATGCAAACCAGATCACGTAGCCAACAAGATCCTCCTGAGGCATCAGCTCGGAGAGAAAATGACACAGCAAATAACCTCCCAGTCCGTGGAGGATCTGGCATGCCACCTCCTCCTCGCGCTGCGGAACAACTTCCTCCACGTGCTACGGAGCCAGCTCCTCCACGTACTGCAGATCCACCTCGCGAGGTTCAGGTGATCCCCCCTCGGGACCCACCACTCGCCGATCCACCACTCCCCGCTCCTCGAACGGTTCAAATAACCGAGGACGCACTCCAACGTATGATAGCGGAAGCTTCTACTCGCGCCGCCACGGAGGCCGTAACTCAATATATCGCCACGATGGGAGCAAACGCTCCCAATGCGATACTGGCACAAGCTCCACCTATAGTACCACCTGTGGCCCCACCGCCAATCCAGAACCAAATAAGTGTCTCCTCCTCTACGTCGGACCCACGGTCCCGAGTGCAGCTATCTACTAATCACCGAGGAGCACAACCCAGACAACAACGTCGGCGCTCACCCCTACGGGGGAATGCATCACCACCGAGAATCCCTCTCTTTAATGAGGGAGAAGGCGAAGTAAACAGCCGAATGTCTCGCCAAAACCTTTTCTCCCAACCAAATAATCAAATGGGTGAGAGGATGCCTCTCCCAGCAAGACGCAGTCCCTTCACCATAGACATCCTCAACGAGGTATTACCTCAAGGAGTAAAGATCTCGGGGTTACCTCAATTCGAAGGAACCAACGACCCACAGGAACATATTGAGAAATTCAGTGCCATGGCGGATTTATACGGCCCGACGGATGCTGCGATGTGCAAAATGTTCCGTACCACTCTCTCCAAGAGGGCAATGAACTGGTTCAACTCCCTACCCATAGGGTCGATTGACACCTTCGCTCGGCTGTCAACCCGGTTCACCAACCAATTCGCCATCAACAAGCAATATGCCAAAACCCCAGCTCATCTCTTCTCAGTAGTACAGAGAGATAACGAAACGCTCCGTAACTACATCAAGCGTTTCGTAGAGGCCGTCCACGAAGTCCCCAGTGTGGGGCAAGACATGCTTTCTGGGATTATGCAGCAAAACTTGAAACCTGGTAGATTCAAAGAATCTATCGCAGGAAGATCCCCAGGCAACTTAGAAGAGTTGCTGAATCGAGCCGAAAAATACGTTCGAATAGAGGAAGCTTCTACCCATGCTCCTCCTAAAAGAAAGAGGGAAGATGACCGTCAGGATAATAGGAGGCGCGATGATCGACGTCCCCCACTTCCACCTCAAGGCCAACCCTCTTCCTCCTACAATAGGTTCACTCCGCTAAACGCTCGCCTCACGGAAATCCTTCACGTGATAGAGCAGAAAGGTTTAGCAGAACCTCCACGTCCTATGCAGCCAAACGCAAAGCGAGAAAAATCGGATCGTTATTGTCGATTCCATAAGGACAGAGGGCATACTACGGAAGAATGTGCACAACTCAAAATGGCGATTGAGAGGCTGATCAAACAGGGCCATTTAGGCGAATACATTGATAAGCCGAGAAATAAGCGCCGTGATGATCCTCCACGCCGAGATAACAATCGAGATCAACAGCAAAGACGAGAGGATGGAGGTCATCGACGTGACCTAGATAACAACGATAACCAGCCTACCCGAGGAATCATCTCTTTTATCTCCGGAGGACCGGCGGGTGGCGATTCCCAAAATGCAAGACGCACCCTCGCTCGATCAGCACGCATGAATCAAGAACATGCTTCTCCCTCCGCACGCATATATCAAATACGAAGACCTGATCACAGCATAGTCTTCAACTCCTCCGACCTCGAAGGTCCGGATGAGGACCATGTCGATGCACTGGTAGTAACAACAACAGTGGCCAACTTCTTGGTCAAGAAGATATTAGTGGACGGTGGAAGCTCAGCTGACATCATGTACCTCCACGCTTTTAAGCAGCTAGGCATAGATAATGCCCGGTTTAATCCCGTTGCCACACCCCTGAAAGGATTCACAGGAGAAAGCATTTTATCCATGGGAGAAGTGGAACTGCCAGTTTCGTTGGGGGAAGACCCATGTCGGATCACAAAACTAATCAAGTTCCTCGTCGTCGACAGGCCATCACCCTACAACATCATTCTAGGGAGGCCAGCAATCCACACATTTAAGTCGGTACCTTCCTCCTATCATCAGAAGTGGAAGTTCCCCACTCCCTATGGAATGGGGGAAGTACTTGGAGATAGACGTCTCGCTCGAGAGTGCTATGCAAGGGCCCTACGAGAACCTTCCAAGAAGCTTAAACCACCCGGAAAGGGAGACGACACCCAAAAATCCGACAAACGAAAGTGGGTCAACGCGGTCATTGAGGATAATAAAGAAATCCTCATCAGTGTGCCGGATGACAGCATCAAACTAGCAGCTGTTGAAGAACTTAAGCTCATAGAACTCACTCCCGGAGATACCTCCAAGCTCATACGGATAGGATCTGATTTAGATCCAACCACGGAGCAGCAGCTTATCAACTTCCTACGACACAATGGAGATGTGTTCGCATGGAAATCCCAAGATTTGTCGGGCATTCCCCCTCAGGTAGCCCTACATCGACTTAACGTCGATAAGAGGTTGAAGCCAGTCAAACAGAGGAAACGGACATTTGGTCCCGAACGCAATAAGCATATCAAAGCGGAAGTGGCAAAACTCCTCGACGCAGGCCACATACGACCGGTTCAGTATCCTGAATGGTTGTCGAACGTAGTACTCGTTCCCAAACCCGGGGGGAAGTGGAGACTATGCGTAGATTTCACCGACCTCAACAAAGCTTGTCCTAAGGACCCTTTTCCTCTGCCTAGAATCGATCAACTCATCGATTCGACCTCAGGATGCGAGCTCCTCAGCTTCCTCGACGCATACCAAGGGTATAACCAGATCTTACTTGCGCCAGAAGATCAAGAGAGGGCCAGTTTCATCACTGACCAAGGCATCTATTGCTATCAAGTCATGCCCTTCGGGTTGAAAAACGCAGGAGCCACCTACCAGCGTCTAGTGAACAAAATGTTTGCAGATCAGATCGGTAAAAATATGGAGGTGTACATCGACGACATGCTCGTCAAAAGTGTTAAGGTCTCGGACCACCTGACGGATCTTGATCAGTGTTTCGCCACCCTGCGAAAATATAAGATGAAGCTCAACCCCCTCAAATGTTCATTCGGAGTTCGGGGAGGCAAATTTTTGGGATATATGATTTCGCAACGAGGAATCGAAGCTAACCCCGCGAAAATTGAAGCAATCACCTCCATGGCTCCGCCAACATCGATCAAGAAAGTTCAACAGCTCAACGGCTGTTTGGCATCCCTGAACAGATTCATTTCAAGATCAGCGGACAAGGCTCTCCCCTTTTTCAAAATTTTAAGGGGAGGAAAAAAGTTCGAGTGGGATGAGGCATGTCAAAAGGCATTCGTTGAGCTGAAGTCATACTTAGCATCCCCACCCCTGCTCACAAAACCTCAACCCGGAGACACCCTCCTACTATACTTAGCTACATCAGCTAATGCCGTCAGCGCAGTCCTCATCCGAAATGGAGAAAAGGGTCACCAACCCATTTACTACATAAGTCGCGCCCTCCAAGGAGCCGAACAACGTTACACCAACATGGAGAAACTCGCTCTCGCCCTCATCAACGCAGCTCGGAAGCTTCGACCTTACTTCCAGTCACATCAGGTGGTGGTTCTCACCAATTACCCTCTGAAGCAAATACTAAAAAGTCCCGAAACATCCGGACGATTAGCAAAATGGGCAATAGAGTTAAGTGAATATGGAGTGGAATTTAAACCTCGCCCAGCTATCAAGGCACAAGTGTTGGCAGATTTTCTAGTCGAAATGACTTCCATAGAAGAGAACACTTCTCTACCTACCTGGTCTGTCAACGTCGACGGATCTTCCACTACCACAGGAGGGGGAGCAGGTATTGTACTAACGAATCCTGATGGAGATGAGTTTGAATACGCTCAACGATTCGAATTCACAGCCTCAAACAACGTCGCTGAATACGAAGCACTGATAGCGGGAATCCGCCTCGCCCTAGCAGCCGGAGCGCGCAAGCTCCTAATCCAAAGCGACTCTCAGCTCGTCGTTAACCAAGTACTCGGAGTGTACGAGGCCAAGGAAGACACCATGGCCAAATATTTAGCTCTCGCACACACTCTCTTGTCTAAATTCGAGAGCTATGAGATAAGACAAGTACCTCGCGCCAATAACGTCCATGCAGACAAATTAGCTAGGCTAGGCAGCTCCATGGCCAGCATTGGAAGTCGGAAGGTGACGCTCCTCACCTCACCTCAGCCGGAGATAAATTCACCTACTGAAGTACACTACACCGACGAGGATGAACCATGCTGGTCCACCCCAATTCTGAAGTACCTCAAGGAGGGGGAACTTCCAACGGATCCCAATGAAGCACGGAAGTTAAAAACAAGAGCCGCCCGCTTCACTATAGTGGGAGAAGAACTGTATAAACGAGGTTTCTCATTCCCCTATCTCAAGTGCCTCGACCCGACCACAGCGGATTATGTACTTAGAGAAGTACACGAAGGCATCTGCGGCAATCACTTGAGCGGGAGAACCTTAGCTCTCAAACTACTGAGGCAGGGCTACTATTGGCCAACGATGCATGAAGATGCGAAAAGATTAGTCCGGAGGTGTAAGCCCTGTCAAGAGCACGCCAATATCACGCACATGCCGGCGGCGTTAATGCAACCAATTGACAGCCCCATTCCTTTCGCCCAATGGGGGATGGATCTAGTTGGACCATTCCCACCCGCCACAGGAGGACGCAAATACCTCATTGTAGCAGTGGACTACTTCACCAAATGGGTGGAGGCTGAACCCTTAGCACGCATTCGAGAAGAAGAAGTTATCCAATTTCTATGGAAAAACATCGTGTGCCGCTTCGGAATCCCACGTTCCATCATCTCGGATAATGGGACCCAATTCTGCGGTGACAAAGTAAAAAATTGGTGCCTCGGCCTAGACATCAAGCAGTTCTTCACATCCGTAGCAAATCCACAAGCTAACGGCCAGACGGAGGTCACGAATCGCACTATACTCCAACACCTTAAGACAAGGCTTGGAAGTGCCAAAGGGAAGTGGGTGGACGAATTGCCTAACGCGCTATGGGCGTATCGCACAACCCCACGAGCAGCAACCGGAGAATCGCCCTTCAATCTAGCTTTCGGAACAGAGGCTATCGCACCCGTCGAAATCGGAGAACCATCTTGGCGAATCACCAACTACGATCCAACAGCCAATGAGGAGGCTATGCGGGGAAGCCTCGACCTCGTTGATGAATTACGTGAAGTCGCATACATCCGGCAACAGATGTATAAATCACGCATGGCCAAGGCATATAACTCAAAGGTCCGCCCTCGTTCCTTTCAAGTTGGAGATTTAGTTCTCCGAAAAGCTGAAGCCTCTCACCCCATCGGTAAGCTCGACCCAAAGTGGGAAGGACCGTATAAAATCACCAAAGTCGTCAACACCGGAGCATATCGCCTCGAGAACACTGACGGACACCCTATACCCAGAACTTGGAATATAGGGAACCTCAAACGGTTCTACGCCTAAGGTATACATCTACCTTACTTCAGATCAGTTGAGATCATCACCCATATTTCTTCTATAGGAAAATTACTCACGAATTGCCACCCATGCAGGCTCCACGACCTTCCACGTCAATTGTCTTGTAAAGCTGCTTATACATGGTTGGAAATTTGACACCACATAACGAGGTACGTGAACGTCCCACCTAAGCTGGGGGGCTAGTAATTTTTCCTTACATCAGCGAGTCATAATTACATCCCATCATCTTCTTACAGGTTGAGAACCTATTACGGGAGGATGCATATTACTCAATCAATGCCCCAAGAGCGAAGATCTTCTATACCACATCGTCAAGGGTAATTATTATACATCCACTAGAATTCAACACACGGATGATCTTATTTACTCTTACTAACATGAAAAAGTAATTCCACTAACAGGCGTGATAGCATAGCAACCCGCAGCAATTCACGAGTTCATTTCATATCTTGGAGGGCGAGAAAGAAAAATTAACCCCCGTAGTAGGGTACGTGAAAGAGCAATACACATCACCATAGCTTCAATTACTACATCATCAATACAAGTGATTAAATAGATTCTCTTTTTCTCAATTGTACTTGACAGGCACAGAGACGCCGAAAGAAGTCAATCTACCATCCGCACAGTGAAACGAACGAGTACAAGGAAGACGTGGAAGAAAAACAAGTGTAGCACAATCACTCAGAATAATTTTTTTTTTTATGAAGACAATTTATTGCTTTAGCAATAGTTAGTTACCTCCGCCTCATGTAGGCCCATCGCATTAGCGATTTATTTAAATTCGCCTCACGTAGGCTTGTAACAATTCTCCTTTGCTATCATCGAATATATCACAATTTTCGTTTTACTATCTGTGCCTTTACATCGATACAAACTACCTCTTATCATGAGTTTAATTCAATACCACCCTATAAACACTTAGACGGATTTAGATAATCCATATAGCCTGGCCAGCTGGATTATCTAAGCCCCTTTATTTGTTTGACGAGGTGTAAATTTTAAAGCGTGGCCACGGACAAATATATTTAAGACCCAAGCGGTCCGAACAAAGGGCACGACCCTTAACAAAAACCTTGGGAGACTGATCCCCTCCTCAAGTGCATCGCGTACAATGCTAAAATGTAAATACATATAAGCAACGCAATAATTCTTGACAATGTCAAAATAAATAAAGCAAAATATTAATCTTCAAAGTCAAACACGGAAAAACTCAAACGAAATAGTAGTGGACATACCCATCTACATCAGCGATAAAAATAAAATACGAAATCCATAAAAAAAAAATAATAGCAATAAAAAATAAAAGGGAAAAGTTAGCTATCCTAACAGATAAGTCTAAGCTCCCCTACCGCGAGCGGAAGACGTAACCACAGTAGAGTCACCCGCAACCATGTCATTCACGAGCTCTGTGCCCGTCCCATTGACATCTACCTCATCCTCCTCTTCATCGGATATGCCAGCTTCCATCCCACGAATCACTTCCTCGCTGATCCCACCCGCATCGCGCAGATATTTGCGACAAGCACGCACTAATGGCTTATAAACCACAGCCAGTGCGTGCTCCTCAATCATAGCAGCACACTCATCACTACCTCGGAAACTAGCTTTAGTCTCCTCCACAATAGACTCCTTATAAGCCGCACCACCCGATGTCGTGAGGAACCTCTTCCCCGTCGCCTTCTCAACTTCGTATTTCTCTTTGAGTTGATCGTAGCATTCGTTCAACTTATGAACATCATCCTTATACGCCTTCGCATCACCCCGGATAACCTCGAGCTCCTCTGTCCTCTCAGCAAGCTCCTCTGTCCTCCGAGCAAGCTCTTCAGAGCGTAGAGCGAGATCGGACCGCGCCTCCTCCAACTGACTTAGAAGCTCATCCTCACGTGCTTGACTTCGAGCACGATCCTCTTCCTTACTAGCTTCCACATTCCTACCGTGCTCCACGAGATATCTCCAAGTCGCTACCAACTAAAAAAAAAAAAAAAAAAAAAAAAAAAATTTTACACAAGGAAGAGAGGGAGTAACATCTAATCTTGTTTTAAGTAAACAAGGACTCACCCGACATATGTCCCCACCGGCTAACTTCAACATGTGAGAAGGGCCCTTACCAGACATCCGAGCCCGATCATACTCCCGAACAAATCCCTCGGTACTCAACAAAGGCAGATCATATGGTCCGACACATCCCAATACGACTCCTTACCGTCGCGATTCACACCATAGGTAAACAATTGTTTCCCTCCCCCACCATGGAAAGCATAAGTCTCCTCTGGATCTACCCGTGAACGCTTAGGCACAGCCACATACTCGGTATCCACCCTCTTACCCTTTCCACGATCCCTCTTCGGTGGACGCTCCTCCACTTCGCCAGCACTGCTACGATCATCCACGACTACTTGAGGAATGTCTACATGAACCTCTTCACGAAGCAAACCACTAGACGCACCTCCTAACTTAGAGGGCACCTTCTTCGATGCCTTCTTCGACGTCCCATTCGCCTTAGCTCGAAGTGCCGCGAATGTGATACCACCATCTACAAAAAATGACAAACACATAAGAAACATGGGGTATACACTCCCAAAAAAAAAAAAAAAAAAAAAAAAAAAAACCACAAGTCAAGGCAACAAAAGGATATACGGTGCTGACCCTTCGCCTTTAGTATCAAAACCCTCGGATCAAATTTCACATCACACAATCCCGACTCTTCAATCCTTTTCGCCATATTCGCAGTTATCGTGAAACTCTCGCACGTAGGATTCCAAACTACGGGAACGTCAAAAGTGGGAGCCCTCACATAAAAAAAATGGGTCTTCCATTTACCCAAGGATAATTTCACACTCTTCACGAATTGGTAAGGAACGCGAGGATGAAAACAAAAGAAAGGCCCCTTATTGGGCCGATGTAGTGTAAATAACGCCTTGAACAAACTCACAGTCACAGGCAAACCCACTAGAGACACTCTATGATGAAACGCCTCGAACATAAGAATTGCAGTCGGAGTTAACTGACTATAACCTATCATGAATTCCTCGCAAATCTTCAACAAAGTCGGATGCGGAGTAATCTGAGATGTACACGTCACGTACGCCAAGAAAACCGTATGAAACCCATCGGGTGGCGAGTACAACCGGTCGCCCTTCTGAGGCAACAACAACTCGATATTTCTAGGCGCTCCAACTAGACGACGAATAGACTGCAAATGCTCTTCCGTCAGTGTACTATCAAAATTAACTAAGTCCAAATTAATTGACTTAAGTTTCTTTTGCCTCCTCGTATCAATCTCAACATCACCCGGCGGAATATCATCTTCCTCCTCCTCCCCGACCATCGGATCAACTTCACTACTCGCCACCGCATGTTCACTCGCCGACTGCGATGGATTAGAATCATCGCTATCACTTCCAAAATCCACGATTTGGCGTCGAGAATAACGCCTACTAGAAACGAATCCACCTACTTGCTCGCGAACATTATCGCTCGATTCTACATCGTCGCTCCAAGATTCAATAATTTCTCGCCTTCCGACACTCCTTCCACTCACGTCATTAATTGAGTCAAAACCTTCCTCAGCTCGACCATTGCTTTCACGCAGTAAGCGTCGAAAAACGGGCCCCGACGCTCCTCCACGCGCCTGAAAAACACCTCCGGAGGCTGCCTCACGCGCTCCCACGCTGGCCCCCAAAGTGCTGCCACGCGCAGCAGCCCCAGCACCATCACACGCGCGCGCGTCGCCCTCGGCCGGCGTGCCGGACGCGCGCGCGCGTCGCCCCTGCTGTGCCCCACCCACGCGTCCCTCTCTCTCTATCAAGTCAGCTGACGCGCGCGCGCGTGCCTCGGGAGGCGTGCCTGACGCGCGCGTCAGCATAGTAATATCTCTCTCTCCTCACCTCGGATAATGCACCCACCACCTCAACTACATCAGCAGACATAATCTCTCTCTCTCCTCTCCTTGGGTAAAGAGCCAATCACATCAGCAGCCCCCATCTCCCTCTCTCTCCTATCCTCGGTCAAAGTGCCAACTACCAAGCCACTATTCAAAGCCGAGCCGCCAGCTCCTTTGGCTCCCTCGAAGCGCGCGCGCTCTCTCAAAACATGGCATGCGGCTGCGCGCCTCAAGCCGACGGTAGCAGATACCGTATCGACAACCCCCTTTTCGGTTCGATCCGTGCACTAGCCGACGGGGATCCGATTTTCGCACCCGATATCACAAGTTTCTCGCGTTCCATTCCCACCGTACCAAAAGTATTCTCGCCCCCTTCAACAACAGGATCTCGAAGTTTAATTCGTAAAGATTTCGACTTACCCGAATTCGACATGACTAGAATTTTTCTCCACGCGAATAATCAAGAAACAAATAATTCTACTCTACCACAGAAAAAATTTCAAGAGAAAAATAGCACAGAAGAAGACCTAGAGTTCAAAGAACATACCCATATTTATTGCAAGAGTTGAAGTTTAATTCTCTCCACCGCAAAAGAAATCTATTTGTCTGGCCCTGGTATAATATTTAAAACCCTTAAATATATACCTTGCTGCCAAATAAATATAATCATCCCTTATTTAAATTAAGGAATTAATTCACCACCACCGGACACAATTCAATCCACGAGGCAATTAACTCGCGACACGACCCGGATCCCTCTACACAAGGCCCCGTCTCGAATCGAGAGTTGGGGGGCTTAATGATATACCTAATGGGCCGACCCAATGGGCCCTAATTTATTAAATAATTAGGCCCAATACACGAAAGTATTCGGGCCCATTACCCGAAAGCCAAAACACCTTCAAAGTAAGGCTTGGGCCCAACAAAATAAGCCCAACTCAGTCAACGACATATAAATAGAAGTTTTATTCATTTGTAAAGGTACGTTCTCATTATTGACAATCGACTACGAGTTTATTCTCTCTACTATCTCTACGATCCGTACATCTGACTTGAGCGTCGGAGGGGTTTCCGCCGGATCAACCCCCGGCTTAGTTCACGTGTGCTCATTTCGCAGGGACCTCAGGAACATCGAGTTGACTAGCTACTGATCAGCTTTGCTCTCCCTGCTCGTTTCCTATACTATCCTAGGTGAGCTATATTTTAGCATCATCAGATAATATAAATGAAAGGCATGAAAATACAAACCTTCCTAGAGTTTTAGAATAGATAAAAGTAAATGCCGAGGTGACATTCTACACATTAGCACTAATTAATCAGGAATGATTTGAGGGGAATGACATCTTTATTTTAGAATTTATGTATAATATATAAAAGTAAATGCCGAGGTGACATTCTACACATTTCATACATGTAATTATTTATTTTATTTAATACCACTCTATTAATCATCCAATATTAATTTCTAAAATATTCATCACATTTCCATAACTAATAACAATTTAAACACATTCCTCACATCGAATGTCATAACAAGGAAACAAATATTAGGAGATTGTGTCGATATAACGAACAAGATTACAACAATAAAAAAATTGTTTACATGTATGAAACTAATGATCTATGTTTGTACTATTTTCTATGATTTACTCATTGAAATTTGATGAGATCTATTGAGTCATTTTTGTGTGTGTGTGTGTGTCTATTCGGGTAATAAAATACATACATAATCACGTAACAGAAAAATATGAATAAAGTTATACACAACCACATAATCACGTAATATGCACGTGATTTGCACTTCATTTGCACATGTGTGTGTGTGTGTGGGAGGGGGGAAGAGATGTGTTAGGGTTCCCAAAGATTTCCTTGCTCTTTAGAAAAAATAATGATAATGTAGGACTGACATGAATTTGGCAATTGAAATTCCACGGAAATGGGTAAAAGTTGGAATGTATTCTCCAATTCCGTCGATTATGATTTCGGAACAACGTTTTCTATTCTGATTTCCAATATTTCGATTATATATATATATATATATATATTTTTTTAGGATTGAAATTGAAATAATATAAAAGAATATTTGAAATACCTGATTTTTTATCCGATTTAATTTCCTAAAATCTTGATTTTTTTCTAAAAAATAGGCCAACAAATAGTACTAACAAAATATAAATCTATTATTAATTACGATATTCAATATAAATCTCCTGTATTGAAAAATATAAAGTATTGAATTAATTCAATATATAAACAAATGCATGACTTAATACAAACTCACTTATGTTACTAAAATCGATAGTGTAAAAAATACGAATGAAAAATAAAATAAGATGTTTATTTAAAAAAAATAGATTATAACCCATTTCAATTAATTTAAATCGATTAACCTCAATTATTGACAATAACTTATTAAAATTATTGATTATTTTATCATCAAAATAGTAAAATATAATTTGAAAAAATCGTAAGAATAAATCTTTTAATCGTAGGATTTGAATCGGTTAAGCTCAAGTTCTTTCAATCCGTAATCATTTATGATATCAAATTAGATTATATTTTGTAGTAGTATATTAATTAATCGAAATATTAGAAAACGTCGTAATGCATCGCACGGGTGAAATACTAGTTACTTTACAAACTACTATTTCTAATTCCAGCTGATCAAGACCTCCGTATCGAAAATCAAAAAAATAATGCAATTTTAGGAAACGAATATTCATAATTCGATTTTAATTTTTTATTTATTTTTTAAATTACACATTATTAGATATGCCTACTATGAGTAGGATGTAGGCAATCTTGATTTATTTCAAGTACAAGTGGGCATTAGCCCAATAATTATGAGCCCAAACCCAAACATAATAAAGCTTAATCAAAGATTCCTAGCCGAATATATATTGAGAGTTGTGCGGAATTAAATAATGATAATATTGCAGTGAAGAAATATTTAATTTAAACACCATTTGACAGCAGTAATTAGCACTGCAAGACATTTACAATCCTCGTAGTTAATACCCCGCTGGTGGAGGTGGTGGTGGACGCACTAATACGGCGGTGGAAGGCGGTGGGCGTTGTGGGGGCGGCGGTGGAGGTGTATCGGGATCTGGTTTCTCCGGTGGCTGTGGCCTGTCTTGGTGCTTCAGTTCACCGGAGCGTGGCGGCGGCGGCGATGGCTGCTTACCTCTAAGCATTCTGGCGAATCTAGGGTTTTGAGTTGCCGTTGACCGAGCTGGGTGAGTCTGCAAGAAAGCAGTTAGTAAGAACAAGTATGTTATTAGTGCAGCTTTCATGATTATATTTCTCCAAGAAAATGAATCAAGCCATCAACATATTTACCAATTTTTATAGTCATATATATAGATGGGGGTGATCTGTATGTATAGCTGTAAAATATTAAGTTTTAAAATTGTCAAATGTGAAATGTGTGCCGTACGCGTTTGCTGCTAACTACCACCACTCTAGCTTCAAGAGTCAAGGCGGTAGTACATAATACATATATATATTATTATATATATGGCTTTTAAAATCTATAGATAAACGACGTCGTTTAACGAACTATATAATACTATATTTAATTTCTGGTAAAAAAACACCCCTCAATGACACTGAGTCAACTAGACAAGTTAAAAAAAGTAGGCGCAATATGCAATACTATAATTTACAAGTTTAAACTAATGCATGTGAACACATTAGTAGCCAGCTGGCGGTATACATGAATTTGAGGCTTTATACCTATTTCTTTTACTTGAAATTAGAGATATATTGATCGATGTGCGGAATTAAATAATACTATATATTACACTGGAGAAGTACTACTTGGAAAGCATTTTAATTTATAACACTGTTGTTACACATGTTTATTTAATTCTATTCTACCAAGAACAAGTATGCCACTGATGCGGCGGCTTTCATATTTCTCCGATCAAATTAAAGGCCAATTAATTTCTAGAGTTCTGAATGATTTTATATAGTGGAGTAGTGGACACCTTATTATATATTATTGCAGGCTCTGTTTTTCCAGAATTTCGGCTATTTTTCGTTTGTGTTTCCTACTTCTTAAAGAATGGCTTAGTACTTTCTCTTGTGGGCACCAATTTGCCAGCATACCTCTTTCCTTTGTCTCTTCAAGAAATCCACGTGGCAGAACAACCTTTTCACCTGAAACAAGATTAGGTCTTATCACCCATAAAAATGGCTGCTTGCTATTGGCTAGCCCCCATGCAAACTCATTTAGCTGATCTGGCGTCATTACGGTTATGCTTCCGAAGTTTACGTACACGACCGAGTTGGGCTCTCTCATGTCGAGCCATTCGAGACATTCTTGATCCTCTTTCCACAGGTTCGATCCTAGCTCTTTCAAACCCACGTCTTCGATGACAAGATTTTCGATCAGATTTAAGGGGCCGATGGGGTAAATCGGGGGCAGGATCGAGGAGAGTGCATCGATGGTGTCTCGTTCGAGTTCTTCGAACGTGTTGAGTACAATAGCAGAAGCTCTCTTGGCTCTTTTCGTCTCTGCGAAGATAAATTGTATCATGAAATCGTCTTCGTTTGTGGTTCTTACGAAACTCGGCATGTCTTTCATTCTTATACCTTCCATGCTTGGTATTCCTTCTATCACAGTTTCCAGATATCCATTTGTGAAGCAACTCGTATCTGTTAATCAACAACAATGAAAATGGAAGTATAAATTATTAGCTTAATAACCCTAATGATTCATGTTACGTTGTTTTTGCATAATCAGAATACGTACAGTAGAATCTCGATAAATTAATAACCTCGTTTAAATAATAATTTCTTACCGTCCGGACTTATAAAACGTACTAAAATATAATTTCGGTAATTTAATATTTCGCTAAATTAATAAAATTTTGTTGGTGCTGGGTGTATTAATTTATAGAGGTTTAACTGTATGTATAAGTATACCTGCAAGTGGAGCATATCCCTTTCGAAAAACATATTCGTACTGTGTGTAAGCATAGAAGCCGCACGCGCTGGTAGTCCAGAAGAGAACTTCCGGGATGCCGAGTTCTTCAGCAGCGTCGGCGGTGAAGCTCATCACCCCATCGGAAACGACGCATGACACTGGCGGCACTTCGGACGAAGCGGTGTCGTTGAGCTTAGCAAGGAGGTCTCTGAACGGAGCTAGGCACGTGTTGGTGGTGGACTCACACAATGACGGAATGTCCTGTGTGGCGTCGGCGTCGTCTTCCGACGGCGGCGGAAGGCCGTCGGGGATGGTCTCGAACCGGAACGAAGGCAGTCCGGTCAGAGAATCGGGGCCCCTGGATTTGAGGAGGCGGTGGTGGTTGTATACTGTGTTGACGAAGGTGATGTGGAAGCCGTTGTTATGGAGGAGCTTGGCGAGTTTGAGCATGGGGTTTATATGGCCCTGTGCCGGAAACGGAATGCAGACGGCGTGGGGTTTCAGTGTTCCGACGGAAGCCGCCATTGATGATGATATATTGATCTGGTTAATATATAATATGGATTAAAAATGTTGATGAATGATGAAGTATCAGCGTTCTATTCTTCCATTTATATAGGTCTCAGAAATTATTTAATATTAGGGAATCATTTGCAAACATTTGGGAAGTCAAAAAACATCCATAACTCTAATTTGACCTGTCATCTACATTTTTCTAATTTGTTACAGTTTAATTTGCCCTATTAATTTAGCAATCGCTTTTAATAAGCTTAGCACTATTTAATTTTTTTTTAATATATATTAGAAACTCGATAAATCAATAATTTTGTTGAAATAATAAACTTTTTCGATCCCGATTCAGTAAAAACATAGTAAATTATTAGTTTGATAATTTAATATTTCACTAAATTAATAGGATTTTGTTAGATTCGATTGTATTAATTTATTGATATTTAACTGAATAATTATTTCAGTTATGATTGAATAGTTAAGAGTTAAAGAAAAGTCAAGATTTTTTTTTATTTCTTAAATTGTTAAAAAAGACAAAAAAATAATGGGTGGGAGATTTCGATTTGGGTCAAAGAGGGCGCTCATATACGGCTGTTTGTGTTGTTATGTTATGTCATGTATCATGTTTACGCACTTATTGCCGTAACGAATCCATATTGGGCCTACTTATCTCAACGTGTTGGAATTGAATTGGGCATCTTATATGTGACCTACGTATCATGCTTCCGCAATTTTAACAATTTTTTTTATTTCTTTTAGGTTTCCATGATTATAAGGTTATAGAGGAGGGGAAGTAGTGTAACAAAAAATGTATATGTGCGCATGTGTATGGTTGCATATGTGTGTATGTATGTGTGTGATGATGTGTGTGGCTGCGAGTCAGAGCTTCGATGATTGCACCGTCGGGAAAAGGGATAGAGCATATTTGACGGAGTGCAGCGGGATTGGGCGAATCTGACAAAGTGCAGTTAGTTAGATACAGGGGTGTGAACGAGTCGAGCTCGCCTCTTTTGGCAGGATCGAGCTCGAGTCTATTTTGTCGTGCTCGTCGAGTTCCGAGCTCGAACTCATCGAGTTCCAAACTCATGTTCATTTTGTCGAGCTCGAGTCCAAGTTCATTTTATTTTATTTTTTAATTATTATTTTATTATCATTAAAAAATTACTAAATAAACAATCAATTGCAATTATATATATATATATATATATATATATATATATATATATATATATATATATATATATATATATATATATATATATATATATATATATATGTATATTTTATTTTTAATTATTTCTATAATGTTTTATTTTTATTATACATTATTTAAATAAAAAAAATAATAAATAAGACCGGCGAGATTGCTCGTGAGCTCACGAACAACTAAAAAATGGCTCGACTAGGCTTGTCAGAAAGTTTAAGCTCAGAAACTGAGTCCGAGTTCGAGTGTTTTTTGGAATAAGCTCATCGAACTCACAAGTCGGCTCAACTCGTTTACCATCCCTAATTAGATATGACGAGGGACGCGATTGAGAACAAAAGACTTTTAGCAAATTTCAAATATCCGACTGTTCCGACTGTTCTAATCTGAAAGAGTATTAATGTTCATGAGTATTTAGCAAATTGACCCATAAATTGAACTATATTGAGATCTCCATAGTTAGCATTAAGTTAATCATGAATGATTTGAGAGGCATGACATTTTATTTTAGAATCTATATATAATATATAAAAGTAAATGCCACACCTACGTGGCATCCACACATAATTATTTAATCTATTTATAACACTCTTAGTAATTATTCAACATAAATTTCCACTTTCCACCATAAATTAAAGGGTTAAATACAAATACACCCCTGTACTATGGACTTTGTATCATTTACCCTCCTGTACTACACATAAATACAAAAACCCCCCTACTATTATATTTTTTCCAAAATCTGACGAAAATACCACTGCTAAACCTATAAATATAAAGGTTTGTTTGAGCCATTTTCCACTATATTTTTTAACATTTTCGGTCAATTTTACTTGAGAAATTTTTATTTTTTTATTTTTTCCTTCAAAACATTTAATTACTTAGATTTCTTTTTAAATTTTCTGAATAAAAACCTTTTATTTTTGTTATTTTGAATTTCTTCATTTTTTTCTTAAACGTCTTCCGGTAGTTACGTTCAAATTCTCAACAATAATAGGATTGTAAAGATTTTTGTAATCTTAGGATGTTTGAACTACCGGAAGACATTTAAGAAAAAAAAATGAAGAAACTCAAAATGACAAAAATAAAAAGTTTTATTTAGAAAATAAAAAAATGTAAGCAATTAGATGTTTTGGAGAAAAAAGTATAAATACTAAAATTTTCAACGTAAAATTGACTGAAAATGATAAAATATATAGTGGAAAATGGCTCAAACCATATATATATTGAGTAGGGATATTTTCGTCATATTTTGGAAAAAAATGCAATGTGAGGGGGGTTTTTGTATTTATGTGTAGTACAGGGGGGTAAATGATACAAAGTTCATAGTACATGGGTGTTTTTGTATTTAACCCTAAATTAAAATATTCATTACATGTTTCCATAACTAATAACAATTTAATGGTGTGATTACAAATAAACCCATCAATGGGTATTTATTCATAAAGAGATCCAGACAAAAATCTTATTTACTAATAAATCCACACATGGTTCAGATTTTTGTAAATGACTAAAATAACCCCTCATACTTTAATATGCTCCAATTTCATCCTTAACTTAATTTAACCTCAATTTGACCCCATATTTCACAAATTATTCAATTTTAACCCAATTTTTTTTTTCAAAAACTTTTTTTTCCCGCCGGATTCCAGCATTGACCGGCGGTTAACGCCGGTCTCCAGCTTTGACTTTTCAATTTTTTTTCTTTTTTTTTTCTTTCGAATTTTTTCGCCGGTCTCCGGCGTTGACTTTTTTTTTTCTCTTTTCTTTCTTTCTGTAACTTTTTTTTTCGTTTAAACAACAATATTGCTGTGATTGACAGTAAAATTAACTAAATTACAGTTTAACACAGTAATATTGATATATTAATCTCTAACACAGTAATATTAACACGACAAAACTCATTATTATTGTGTAATAGAGTAATATTACTATGTTGACCGTTCAACAAATGTAAATATAATAAAAAGTCAAAAGAATTAATATTACTGTGAGTGACAGTAATATTAGTATAACAACAGTAATATTACCGTCAACCACATTAATATTACAGTAATAGAAAGTAATATTATTACATTACTCCGTGAATAACTCAAACAACAAAAAATCCAAACAAAATAATAATATTGATGTGGTTGACAACAATATTACTATAACAACAGTAAATATTACGGTCAACCACATTGATATTATTGTGTTTACAGTAATATTACAATAATAGACAATAATATTATTACGTTACTCCGTGAATAATTCAAACAAAATAAAAACCCCCAAAAAATAATAATATTGATGTTGTTGACAGTAATATTATTGTGTTTACAATTATTTTACTATCAACGACAGTAATATAATTACGTTGACTTGTCAACACATCAAACAAAATAAAAAAATAACAAAAAATAAAAAATAATAATATTACGTTAATTTACTGTCAACGGCAGAACAATTACATAAATGTATTGTCAACGGTAGTACAATTACGTTAATTAACTTTCATTGACAATATAATTACGTTAATTTACCGTCAGTGACAGCACAATTACGGTCAACGTTTAGCGGCGGACGTAAAAACAAAAAAAAAAAACTTAAAAAAACACTAAAAAAAGTCAACACCGGAAACCGGCGAAAAATTCCGGAAGAAAAGAAAAGAAAAAAAAAGGACAACGCCGGAGACCGGCGAAAAAATCCGAACGAAAGAAAAAAAAAATGAAAAGTCAACGCCGGAATCCGGCGGCAAAATTTCTTTTTTTGAAAAAACAATTGAAAAAAAAAATTGGGTCAAAATTGAATAATTTGTGAAATTTAGTGTCAAATTTAAAATAAATTAAGTTAATGGTGAAATTGGAGCATATTAAAGTATCCTCCAAAAAAAAAGTAAAAATTGAATTTTTGTGGTCAAAATTGGATTTTTGTGGACAAAATTGATTAAATTGGGGTTACAATTAAGAATTTGGTATAAATGGTTGAGGGTAATATTGGGATATACATGAATGTTTCCTTTATTTATAATAAATATTAAAGGGATGGGCTTATTGGTGAAAGAGATATAGCCCCTAAACCCCAATTTAAACACATTCCTTAAATCGGATATCATAACAAGGAAACAATTATTAGGAGATCGTAATCATTTATGATACTTAATAAGATATATTTTGTAGTAGTGTATTCAAATTATAATCAAAAGTTATTATTTTAACAACTAAATTCGAAATATTCAATTAATCGAAATAATGCATCGCATGGGTGAAGTACTAGTTTAGAGGGTGTTTGGCTAAACTTATAAGATGTTAAAAGTAGTTTATAAGATGTTTTAGAGCTTATAAGCTCTTCAAAAGTGTTTGGTAAAATTTTAAAGAAAGATCTTTTTTTTTTTTTTTAATAAGCTCTTAGAGAGCAAATAAGATCTTTTTTAAATAAGTACTCTAGCCCACCTTTTTATTTAAGGTCTTATAATAAGTAAAAATAAATAAGCTCATTGTCGAAATACTCTAAAAATTAATCATAATAATAAGATGTAACAGCTTATCATCTCTAAAAACATCTTATTAAGTAAGAACTTATTAACTGTTTAAAATAAGCTTAGCCAAAGGGGCATTTTTTTTTTACAATATTTCGGATTTTTTTTTTTGAGAATTGGGGTGATTTTGTAATTAATTTCAGAAATGGGATAAAGCGTCATTTAAAATGACGCGCTTTGCGGACCGTTGGATCGAGTTGCGATGGACGGCCAGATCTCCTATTTTGTCCTCTTAATCTAACGGTCAGAGATTAATCTGGGCGATCGGACGGCCCTTAAAAGGCGTCATTCAAAACGACGCCCTTTGACCCGCCACACTGGATTTACAGCGTCATTCAAAACGACGCCTTTTAACAGCCGTTGGATTGTGTTTATATCAACGGCTGGATTTGAGAGCTGAGGATTTTAAATTTACTTAATTCTTTTTATTGTTAAATTATAATACTTAATTGAATTTTAATTTTAAATTAATTATATGTTGTATTTTAAAAAATTTCCTTCATTTATTTATGCAATTTATTTTATAATTCACTATAAAATAATACGAATTTGGAACATTTTTTTTTCATTCCAATTTCTGATATTCCGATTTCCGATCTGATTGTATTTCCGAAATATAATATATATATATATATATATATATATATATATATATATATATATATATATATATATATATATATATATATATATATATATATATATATATAGATATATATATTGTATTTTTGAATTATTTTTCTATTGATGTTTTGCAAGAATTATAGTTGCTTTGATAAATCAATTATGTTGTTTTTACAAGTGTTTAAATTTTATTTGATTGAACTTTGCTTTGGATTCTTGCCTTTTGCCGGAAAATTACGAAAATATTAAAAAACAATACTAAAAATTACCATTATTTCCGATTTTGGAACAAAACATTAAGAATTAATGCAATTTCCGAAAATTCCGAAATTCCGCCGATTCCGAGGTATTCCGAAATTGAAATTGATTTTGAAATTCCGATTTTTTTGGAACGGAAATTGGAACCTATTTTTAACTTCCAAAAAAATTGGAAAATTTCCAAAAAAGGCATTTCCGATCCATTCCGTCCGATTTCCATATTTTATTAAATAAAAATAAAATGCCTAATTATTGGGAAATATTTTTTGTCTCTAAATCCTTTAGTTTATTTAATTTGTTTTTTATTAAATAACTAAAATACTAAAAAGTTTTAATAAATAACCAACATAAACTACAATAATAATATCACCAATGACGGTGACCTCCGGTGCCACATCTCGGGGGCCTTCTAGTCCTGTGCCCTCTACCAACTTGTTCATCCTCATCATTTTCATTATCACTCGAAGAATTTGCGGATTGAGAATAAGGAATATGTGTGATCTGATGATCTACCGGTCGCGAAGACGAAAACTGATGCGTAGACCCCAAATGAACTGGGTCTTCCGAATTAATATTCGAATTAAAGTAGGGGTATGGGGTGTACGGATCTGCATCAACGAGATTATAATTATACTCACAATTGTAGATAATATTAAAAATAAAATCAAAGGTACTAAACATACCAGATGGATGCCCGTGTGATCTAGGATCTGTATAATTATCGAATGCCGGATAATATGCACGAGAAGAAGTTCCTGCCTCGCCAGCGTACATCTGAGTATGTGACTGAGGCATTTGAGACAGTGGTATCTGAGTCTGAGTCTGAGGGTGAGTCTGAGTATAAGGCATCTCAGATTGAGGCCTATTTGAAGGTCCGTGTCGAGACTCTAAGACATTAAGACATGTTCTGAGAGTCGGTAAATACGAACGATAGCCATCCCGGGGCATGTCTCCGCCATCAACAGAAACAATCAACGATCGAAGATGCTGAATCTGAAATAAGTAATAAGAAATATTTTATTTTTAGAAGACATACATTAATAAAAATTATATAATACACAAAATTTTATAATAAATAAATTTGAATACGTACCACTGTATCCATTGAAATCTGACCTCCAACCTGAAATCCTGTACGATCTGATGGGGTAATCGGTGATATGAAACGACGTGTGTGCAGTTCATACCACTCAAAATAACCATCTTCTGTAGTCTGACTGTCACTAGCATATGGATAATCAATAATATAATTGAGTCTATTATCCCAAGCGGTAACATGCGAAACATGTGTAAGACTCCAGTCTCGGTTGGTAGCACCTGTACGGTTAGCATTGACGTGCATCCGGAAATCCGTCTCAGTATTTTCAGGAGGTTCAGGTATGGGTTGTACTATCCCGAACTGACGTACTACTCTGTCTGGTCGATGCATCTCCACAATTGCGTAGCATATCAGGGGGACTCTCGATACCCATATACCATAACATGTGATCGCCGAATCACCACCTACAGCCTGATACTCCGGATCATCCAGATCATATGGCATACATATAAACTGATCTGGGAGCATCTGATCCAACATCATCCTAAAAATACGAAGAACATGTGCACCAGTCTCAATGAAGCTGACATGGTTGGTCCACATGTGATATATTATTATATATTAAACTTAAGATAATAATAAAGATAAGGTTTAAAATCATATTGTTGTTGAGAATTTGAACTGCCGGAAGACATTTAAGAAAAAAATAAAGAAATTCAAAATGACAATAATAAAAGGTTTTATTTAGAAAATTTAAAAAAAAATCTAAGTAATTAAATGTTTTGAAGAAAAAAAGAAAAATATCAAATTTTTTCAAGTAAAATTGACTGAAAATGTTAGATAAATATAATGGAAGTTGGCTCAAACAAACCCTTATATTTATAGACACAAAAAATTAATACACAAATCGCCGTAACAATAATGCAAAAATAATTTAACATAAATCTCAAAACCATTATCGTGCACCGTAAGAGAGGCTCTGATGTAGTGAATTGTGAAGGCATCAAAGGATTGTATAAAGGCTGAGACTCAACATAAACATCTATGGAATCGTTTCCTTCATCCGGGTGCAAATAGATTTCTAAATCATCATCACTTGTTATCTCAGAAACTATCTCGCTCCACTGATTTTGATACAATCGTGATATTTTGGCCGACACCGATAACACAAATTCATTTCTATCTATTCGTCAACGTGAGTATATTTTCGCCAAGAAGTCTGAGAAAGATATATCGCGTTTCACTCGTATGACTGTATGATGAGATTGATCATAATTCACTGACAATCCCTCATGAACAATCTGGCCTCCTATATACACGAAAACTTTGACAGTATTCCTACCCAGAGTCGCCATTGAAACCCTATATTATGATATTTTGAGATTATTATTTTTTTTCGAAATATTTAATATTTCCTAATTTTTTTTATAGCTACAAACACTAAATGTTAGATTATAAATCAGTTAAAACAAACAATTAATATTTAATATTTTCTAATTCGTTTTATAATTTGAGAGTTCGAAAACTATTAATTTGTATATTATAAATCCTTAAAAAATTGTGTAATTCGTAATTTTTCGACACATTCATATAACACTTTAATTTTGTAATTCAAGTAAGACTTTAATTAACCAATAAAATATTTAATTTACCTCAAAGATAATTGTAGATTTACTAGCACCCACAATCACTTCTCAATCCACCACAAGTTAGACTTCCACCTAGTTATAATAATTAAAAAAACCATCAAAATAAAAATTTCAGCAATTATTTAAAAAACAGGAAAAAAATAACAGCTTCAACCCCAAGTTGTACTATATTTGTACAATATAACAAATAATTACCTTCAAATTATTATTATTTGCTAGCTACAAAAATCCCTTCTCAAACCACCACAAATTACACTTCCACCTAGTTATAACAATAAAACAAAAAATATTAAATTTTCAACAATAAAAAAAATAAATTTTGTACAATATAACAAATAAATACCTCGAAATAGTTATTATTTGCTAGCAACGTAAATCCCTTCTCAATCAACCACAAATTACATTTCACCTAATTATAACAATCAGAACACAACAAAATTTAAATTTCAGCCATTATTTAAAAACAAGAAAAAAAACATGAAAAGATGTTAAATTATTAAAACATGGGATCAAAAGTGAAACTAATGTAAACTTGAGGGGCTAATGCCATAACTAATTCTACCAATTTATCCACTAACTCACTATTAATTAATTAATTTATCCTATTAATTATTCTACTCGTATCATATTTAAACTATTAAAAAAAATTAAAATTTCAGAAATTATTTAAACACAATCCGTGACAAGTTCAAGTTCCCCTTCGAGAATTATTTCAACACAATTTATCCACTAACTCACTATTAATTAATTAATTTATCCTACTAATTATACTACTAATCAAACATTCCTTCTTAAATCCACCACAAGTTCAAGTTTAACCTAAAAGTAACAAGTAAAAACAACAATAAAAAATTGAATTTCATAAAAAATTATATATATTTTAACAATACAAGAAATAATTTATCTCCAAATAATTAATAAGTTACTAGATAAAAATACCATTAATCCACCATTAATAAAAATTTAACAAAATTGTATTAATAATTAAAATCCTATTTAACTATAATAATTGAAAAAGTGAAAAAAATTACCTCAATAAGTACCCTGCTGAAATTAATTAAAATTACCTACATTAATTAAAATATAAATTAGAAACTACAAATAAACAATAATTAACAAAAAAAAAAAAAGAGAAAAAAACACTTACGGCTTGTTGGGAAGAAGGGAGCAAAGGGAGAAAGGGAAGCAAATGAGGTGAAATGTATTTTTTTCGGATTAAATATATATATATATATATATATATATAGCCGAAATCACGGCCGTTGGATCGAGAAGGGATCAGACGGTCCTTAAAACGCGTCGTTTAAACCGACGCGTTCAACCCTGACAGGTCAAAGCGCGTCGTTCAAAACGACGCGTTTTAAGGACCGTCAGATCTTCTCTTCAATCCGTGACCGTCAGATAACGAGGACAAAATTGGAGATCTGGCCGTTGATCGCAGCTCGATCCAACGGTCCGCAAAGCGCGTCATTTTAAATGACGTTTTATCCCATTTCTGAAATTAATTACAAAATCACCCCAATTCTCAAAAAAAAAAATCCGAAATATTGTAAAAAAAAAAAAATGCCCCCTTAGCCAAACACCCTCTTAGTTTACGAAGTACAAGCTACTATTTCTAGCTGATCAAGACCTCTAGTATTGAAAATCACAAAATTAATGTAATTTTAGCAAACGAATATTCATAATTTGAATTTATTTTTTTTTTAATTTTTTTTTACACATTATTAGATATATATGCCTACAATGAGTAGTATGCATCACTATGCAGGCAACCTTGATTTATTTAGAGAGAAATTGGGCCTTAGCCCAATAATTATGAGCCCAAACCCAAACAAAAATAATCATTGACAAAAACCCTATCCGAATATATATTGAGAGTTGTGCGGAATTAAATAATAATAGTACAGGGAAGCAATATTTAAACACCATTTGACAGCTGTAATTAGCACTGTAACACATGTTTAGTGAGGCACGTGCCAAATTACCGGTACTACTTTAACTAGCTAGTTGCATCAAAACATTTACAATCCTCGTTGTTAATACCCCGGTGGTGGTGGTGGTGCTGGACGCACTATTATGATGGTGATGGGCGGTGGGCGTGGTGGGGGCGGCGGTGGAGGTGAATCGGGATCTGGTGGCTCGGGCCCCGGAGGCCGTGGCTTGTATTGGTGGTTCAGTTCACCGGAGCGTGGTGGCGGCGGCGCCCGCTGCCTACCTCTAAGCATCCTGGCGAATCTAGGGTTTTGAGTTGCCGTTGACCGAGCTGAGTCTGTATGCGTCAGCAAGAAAGCAGTCAGTAAGAACAAGTATGCTATTAGTGCGGCTTTCATGATTATATTTCCCCAAGAAAATGCATCAACATATTTACCATTTATACTAATTATATATATACGGGGATCTGTATGTATAGTTATAAAATATATTAAGTTTTAAAATTGTCAAATGTGTGACTATATCACAGTCGTAACGCGTTTGCTGCAAACTACGACCACTCTAGCTTCATATATTATTATTATATATATTGCTCTTAAAATCTATAGATAAACGACGTCGTTTAATGACTTTTATAAAATAATATTTCTGGTACAAAAACACCCCTCATTGAGTCAACTAAACAATTTTGGAGTCATTTGAAATCCACCTCAATTGCTCAAAACATAACTAAAAAGGAGGGGTGTGGATTCGAAATTCATCCCCAAATCCCTCAATCCAAACAAGTCCAATGGATTTGTTATTATGGATTTGAAATCCCTTCCCCAAATCCTTCCATCCAAATGCACCCTAATACTATTTAAATAGCATTTCAATTTATAACACTGGTACACATGTTTATTTAATTCTATCAATACCCCGGTGGTGGTGGTGGTGGTGGATCCACTACTGCGCCGGTGGTGGGCGGCGGGATTGTATCGGGATCTGGTTCTTTTGAACGGAGCGGCGGCTTTTGGTGACTCTGTCTACCGAAGATTGGCGGCGGCGGCGATGGCTGCCTACCTCTGAGCATTCTGTCGTACCTAGGGTTGTTGCTGTGGTGGTTTGCCGTTGACTGAGCTGCTGGGTCAATATGGATTAGCAACAACAAACTAATTACCAAGAACAAGTATGTCACTGATGCGGCTGCTTTCATATTTCTCCGATCAAATTACCAATTAATTTCTTGAGTTCTGAATGATTTTATACATAGTGAGTGGAGTAGTGGACACCGGATTATATATTATTGTTAAATAATCAGTTTTAATAAATTTGTTAAATATATAGTGAGCTCAGTCAAACACGTTACTACAGTACCTACTACGACCACTATCGGCTTCATTTTCCTGTTTATTAATCCTTAAAACCAGCACCTTGTTTCTATCTACATATATATAATCATGAATAACTTTATTTGTTATTTGGTGTATTCAATAATTTTTCGCCTCCAATCGAAAATATTATTTTGTCATGAATCTATATATTATCATATATTAATATGGTGAGACCACCCATGTTCTAAACTTATTTGAGATATGTATTAATCACCATTAATTTTCTAAGATTAAATTTGGACCCTAAGAAAATAACATGGCTTATGTTCTAAAAAATGAAGTACTTTACCAAATTATCCTTGGATTATTTTTTTTTATTTGATAAATAATCGAAAAAAATGCATTCATTAGAAATAGAACTTGTGACCTCTTAATACATTTATCACTCCTAACCATCCAAGCACATTAACTTATTATGAAATATTTAACCATAATTGTATAAATACTGTTAATGCAAATATTAATTGCAACATTCATTATTATTAAATGGTATTAAATAAATTATTAAAAAATTTAATAAAATAAAGTTTGAAAAATATAAAGAATTGCAGTTCAATACGCCAAACATCTATCATTAATTATATAATATTAGAATTATTAATAAACTCCACTATTTAAAAATGTAAAGAATGCTCAATTAAATAAATAAAAATACATAACTTAATTCAAACTCACTTATGTTATTTAATCGATAGTATTTAATCGATAGTGTAGCAAATCCAAATAAAAAATAAAATAATATGTTTATTTAGAAGAAGAAAAAATTATAACTCATTCCAATTAGTAGTTTTCTTACTTTAAAATAAAATTATATACTACAAATTCTATATTGTGAATTTTCTTTTAATATTTAATTTAATCAACTAGTAAGATTTGAATCGATGAAGTACAAACCCTTTCAATTAGTAAACATTATTCAAATATTTGAATCGGTTGCTTAACTATTGACATAACATGTTACAAAATTGATTTAACTATTTATAAGTAATGTCTAATATCTTTTTAATTCAATTTTGTCATAAAAAATAATAAATTTAATTCCTAACACATGTAAGAACCTAATCGTAAATCATAATATTTTATCAAAGCGTAATATTTGAACCAATTAAGCTCAAGTCCTTTCAATTCGTAAACATTATTCAAATATTTGAATCGATTCACTAGCGCGCTCAACTATTGACAAGAACGTCTTAATCAAATTAACTATCATTAATTAAAATGTAATACATTTTTAATTCAATTTTATCATAAAAAAATAATTCCTAAATTACGCAAGAATCAAATCATAAGATTAATTAAAGCGTATGATTAGAATCAATTAAGCGCAAATCCTTTTAATTTGTAAATATTATTCAAAATTTTGAATTGATTAAGTTCAACCACTGACAAGAACGTATTAATCGAGTTAACTATTTATAATTAAAGTCTACTATCCTTTTAATTCAATTTTAACAACAAAATAATAATTTAATCGTAAAATCGTAAGAATCAAATCGTAAATCGTAAGATTTAATCTAACCATGAACCGATTAAATCTTACGATTTTTACCAATTAAATTTTATTATTTTTTATGATAAAATTCAATAAAAAAAGGTTACTAAACTTTAACTATACACAGATTGATTGATACGCTACTGTAAATTATTGAGTTTAAGCGATTCAAATATTTGAATATATATTGTCTACGAATTGAAATGAGTTGAGCTTAATCGATCAAATCTTTGAATATTGTTTTTGAATTGAAAACACATGAGTTTAATTGATTCAAATATTACGATTTAATTAAATCTTACAATTTACGATTCAATTCAAACTTCAAATTCTTTCGAAATTAATTTTTAAATTACACGAGTTGAAGAAAATTTCCTTAGATTTTTAAATTATATTATATAAAGATTTGCTAGTATGGGATATTTTTAATATATAATAATAATAATTATATGAGAATTAATAATTTATTTAACATTATTTATATAAGGTTTATAACCATTATAAATTGTAGCTTTCTGATATATATCCGTATTGTTAGTTTATAGTCAATTATGTGTTCTGTCTTAATGGTAAGTATTCTTGTATGTTTTCAGATTGTCACAAGTTCGAATTCAGGTTGATGCAATTTTGGATGGGTGGTTTAATGATTTTTACGAATAATGATATAATTGACGTTATAAATTTTAATTCAACAATAAATATATATTTGAAATTGCATTAAAATAGAGAGGGTAAAATTGACATTTCATTAATAATTTATAATTGCTGATTTTTTTAAAATAATAATTGTAAAAATGGTATTTGCGACAATACATAAATGGAGAAAAAATAGGTTTTTTTGCTGGGACACGTGTCGCAATTTGAGGGGTATCTCATAAAAGTTTAGATCTCATGGTAGAAACACCCATATTAATATATTAATACAATTGAATTTTCATTATATTATTTGATCTGCACATGGGGTAATTAATTATCGTTCCGTATTTTAAGAAACCAAACGACTCTGTATATAGTATGATAACATAAAGAAATCCAATCTAATATAGTATTGGATCTTAGATGATCCAATAAAAATGACATGTCTACAACGCAAAATAAGCCACGATAAAATAATATTTGCTGGGCGATCCTCGCAAGTTATTGAGAGTACTAAATTTCAAATAAATTTCAATTATTTATTTAATCATGGCTAATCTGCCCAACCAAACAAGGACTAAGCCTCTGTTTTACCAAATCAGCACAAATGCACTACAAATATTTTGGAGATTTCTTGGTTCATTGCTATAATTAAGCTTTAAATAAACATATCCCATAAGCAATTTGCAATCTCAGACTTTTGACAACAGCACTTGATCAATAAGCTTCTTCAGATTCCGATAAGATGAACCCTCCGCGGAATCCCGAGCAAGATTCTTCCACTCGACAGCCTTGTTCCTCATCTGCCGTCCCTCTTCTCCGACCATCAATTTCGTCACAAGAGTTTCGACACCATTCCTCTTCACATCACTGTCAATCTCCATTCCCACTCCCCATTTAGTACAACAATACCAGCAATTCGTCTGCTGCTCCGCAAAAAACGGCCAACAAATCATCGGCACACCACTGCATATACTTTCGAGAGTCGAATTCCACCCACTGTGAGTTAAGAACCCTCCCACAGAAGAATGGCTAAGTACCTTCTCTTGTGGGCACCAGTTAGCCAGCATACCTCGTTCTTTAGTTGCGTCGAGAAATCCATCCGGGAGAACGGCCTTTTCGCCTGACACAAGATTAGGTCTTATGATCCATAGAAATGGCTGCATGCTATTGGCTAGCCCCCATGCAAACTCATTCAGCTGATCTGGCGTCATTACGGTTATGCTTCCGAAGTTTACGTACACTACAGAGTTTGGCTCTTTCGTGTCGAGCCATTTGAGACATTCTTGATCCTCTTTCCATAGATTCGACCCCAGTAGGTTCAAACCCTTGTTTTCGATGACATTCTTTTCGATCAGATTTAAGGGGCCGATGGGGTAAATTGGGGGAAGGATTGAGGAGAGTGCATCTATGGTTTCTCGTTCGAGTTCTTCGAATGTGTTGAGTACAATTGCAGAAGCTCTCTTGGCTCTTTTTGTCTCTTGCAAGACAAATTTGACCATGTAAATATCGTCTTCGTTTGTTGTTCTTATGAAACTCGGGATGTCTCTTATTCTCATGCCTTCCATGTTTGGTATTCCTTCTATCACTGTCTCTAGATACCCGTTCGTCAAGCAACTCGTATCTGCAAATATATAGATCAATAATGAAAAACGAGATCGAGTCAACTTCGCAATTCAATGTAACATAGAGAATATGTTCGTATTTACGAAGGAAATTGTAATTTTAGTTATGCATGTTGGTATGCTTAGGGATCGGATCTAGTTGTCTAAATTATCTTATCTCAGTTTTACATGTAATAACTAATAACTACAAAAAATTAGAATTTTTTGTCATGTTTCACTCAAACTTTGAATTTTACCGCTCCTAGCTCGAAGTTGGTTTTGGTTTATTAATTCGTCCTTTCACATAATTAATCTAAGTTTTATTAAAACTAAGTTACATGTCAATTTTATAAATTTAAATGTCCATATATAAGTAAAATTCGTGAAGTTTATTTCTTTCGTCTTAAATTAAAATTTATGCAAATAGGACAAAAACAAAAAAAATCTGAGTTAATTAATTACCTGCAAGTGAAGCATATCCCTTTTCAATAACATTTCCATACTGCGTGTAACAATAGAAGCCACACGCGCTGGTAGTCCAGAAAAGAACTTCAGGGATGCCGAGTTCTTCGGCAGCGTCGGCGGTGAAGCTCATCACCCCATCGGAAACCACGCACGACACATGCGGCACTTCGGACGAGGCGGTGTCGTTGAGCTTAGCAAGGAGGTCTCTGAACGGAGCTAGGCACGTGTTGGTGGTGGACTCACACAATGACGGAATGTCCTGTGTGGCGTCGGCGTCGTCTTCCGACGGCGGCGGAAGGCCGTCGGGGATGGTCTCGAACCGGAACGAAGGCAGTCCGGTAAGAGAATCGGGTCCCCTGGATTTGAGGAGGCGGTGATGGTTGTATTCTGTGTTAACGAAGGTGATGTGGAAGCCGTTGTTATGGAGGAGCTTGGCGAGTTTGAGCATGGGGTTTATATGGCCCTGTGCCGGAAACGGAATGCAGACGGCGTGGGGTTTATGGACCGAATTACCGACGGAACCCATTGACGGAGATTTGATGTTTTGTTTAAATATATATATATATGAGAATGATTGGTGGAAATTAAATGGGATTTGTGATGCAGTAGCAGCTCTACTCATCCAACTATATATAGCGATCAGAAATTATTTAAATACTATTATATTACACTATATTTTTAAACATATTTATTTGCTAACATTTCGGAAGTAAAAAAGCATCGAGAACTCTAATTTGACCTTTCATCTTGATTTTTTATTTACTTGTATAGCTGAAAAGAAAAGAAATTTCACACTAGTATACTTTAGGGTAGGGATTAAATATTATATTGGAACAAATATAAATGCTCTATATACATAGACCGACATGTTGAATTGTTTATATATATATATATATATATATATATATATATATATAGTGGTAATTGGTAAATGAATGAAGGCTAACATTTTATAAACAGTCTACTGTGTATAGTGTATACTATATCGTAATATACTAGATCTAAATAAAAACTTCCATTTTATTTTATTTCTTAAATTTTTCTTAGAGGGAAAAAAAAAAAAGAATTATGGTATATGTTGGTTTGGTGTTAACAGTGGTCAGCGGTCAAAGAGGGGTTCCCATGCTGCAGTTTATCTTGTATGTCATGTTGACGCACTTACTGCCGTAAGGCTCCATTTCTGGCCTTCTATTTGGACCTATTTAAATTCAATCATGCTTTGCTAATTTAATGTTTCGCTACATTTTTTTTTTGCTATATTCCAATTTTATTTTAGGAGTATCCTTGAGTAAGTTATAATTTGAAAACAAAAAAATGTTTTATTTATAATAATAGAGAAAGGTCCAAATTCACTTTTCTCTTTAGATAAAAGTTGCAGTCGTTGAGTAGTTCTGATAGTATACTCCTCTTCATCCTAAATTTCCACGATTACCTTCTTATCACCAACGTCCGACGTCGATACACCACTTTCTGGACATCAAACACCTCCATCACCGCCGATGCACCACCATCTGCACATTAAAAACCTCCACAATCGTCGAGGAGTCTGAACTTACATTGAAACACCTTCACCGCCACAGATGCACCACTGTCTTGACATCAAACACCTGCACCACCGGAACTGAAGTAGCGCGATCCTCTCATAAATCGGCAAATTCCTCCTCTACGTCCCTGACTAACGCAACACATCGCGTGACAAAGCGTCTCTCTTCCGTTCCATGCACTCTAGTTTTGTTGCCATCAATTTTAGTATTGTTATTATGAGACAGTTTACATAATCGATTACAGTCGATATCAATTATATATGTTTCTTTTATAATCGATTTATTGTTTTTAGGTCTAATATACACTTCAATACTAATCAGTTTTAATCGATTAGTAAATAAACCACACAAACAACATGGCCGATTTATGTTCAACGTAATCCATAATTTCCCCTCGTTATATTACGTGGGATAACTTTTTACCTGCAATGGATAAATTATATTATACCTAAAAAATAGTGGGAGAAAAAAACAAACACATTACGTTTCAAGAAAATCTAAAAGATATGGTCTTACGGGAATATGTGCCGTAACAGCTAATTTGGCAGAATATCTAATTTATTAATGAGATTGAGATCTTTATATTAGCAATAATTAATTATGAATTATTGAGGGGCGTAATCATGCATTACGCTTGTTTCAGATAAAATTAGTGGCTTGATTAGAAATTAAGTTGGAATACGTCTACTCAGCTTTTATTATAAAAGTTGATGTCACTTTCCTCATTTATGAAAATTCGACAATTAATTGGTCAATAATTTTTTGTCTACTAAAGTCTAAAACTAATATTTTCGAAAACTTAATTTTGAGAGAATAATCAAAGATGATATTTTACAATTTTGGGATGATTATAATTTGTCATATGAGTTGTGTTTACTTTTCATTCAAATATTCGAATATAAAAATCAATAGAGTGAAAATAATGATTGATTAAATAAAAATAATGTTTTTGTATTTCGATAAAATAAATTTTAAATAAATCCCAAAATCACGCCAAAAAAAAAAACTTCAATTTGAACTTATGCGATTACAATTTAAAATTTCTCCTTACAAAAAATGGGACGTACGTAATTAGTTTGAAATTAACAAAAAATCACATGGTTTGGTCAACGCTTGTGAATTGACAACTTTAGAGATGACAAGAGAAACTGTATTTTTTCTTATCGGCCACGTCATCACCTAACTAATTACTACTAAATAATTAGTGCATGGATGTGGATCAAATTAGTTATTTTCTCATTTTCACATCGATACTCTTAAAATATTCATTTCAAATTAGAAAAACATAAAATATACACTACATTTAAAAATAACATACTGTACTATAAGAAGAAGATGAGTTATTGTCATAAATCAGATCATGTTTGACAAATTCATACATTATATTACATTATTGGAAATTAAAGTCAATCATTGAGTTGTACTTATATATGTTTGTAAGAGTATTGGTGCAACTTCGATTTGATGCAAGGAAATAAAAAACAAACAAATCCGCGTTAACGACTAGTCGACTACCAACTAAGCGTGTATATACTAGAAAAAAGAAATCGTTTATACTGTCGCGTATACGCATCAACACCATTATATTGCTAAAGCAAGAAAATCAGAATACACGAAAATAATTCGATATACGAATTATTTAAAACATGTTTATTCATTACATGAGTACTAGTGAGAATGGTTTATAATTTCCACAATTCGCAGTATTACTTAAATTTACTTAAAACAACAAACACTTAATTTACCATATATCCTCGTGTTTCGACTAATCAATCAATACGCCGGCGGTGGTGGTGGTGGTGGGCGTGGCGGCGGTGGATAAGTGACGAACAAATGCCCTGGTGTCCCTGGAGAACGTGGCGAATCTTGGTGGTTCAATCTACTGGAGCTTGGTGGCGGCGGCGATGGCTGCTTACCTTTGAGGATTCTGCGGTGGTTTGCCGTTGACTGAGAAAGGTCAACATGCATTAGCAGCAGGATGAAACCCATTACCAAGAACAAGCATGTTACTGCTTTCATATTTAATTAATTAATTAATTATTTCTCAATGAAAATCAAATAAATGCATCACCATATATATTAATATTAGTTTTTTTACATCAGTTTTCAGATTGTCATTTGTCAAATATGCTGACTCAGTCGTACGCGTGTTTGCTGCCAAACAACGACTAGTACTCTAGCTTCAGTAAGTCAACTTTTTCCTTATTTAATTTTTTTTTAATATTAATTGTTTTTTATCAGTTTGTAAGAAATTGGTGCCACGCTGCATGCGATCCGGGGGCCTCCACCCCCTTCATGAGTCAACTTGCAATGAATTATTATTTGGCTACGGCTATATGCAATACTAATTCCACTTGTGCAAAACCAAATTAAAGAAAGATTCCAAAAGATTCCATTTTATTAAGATGAAATGACAAATATACCCATAAATTAAATTGACTTTTGTTTGCTCATGCAAGACCAAATAACAAATAATAAAAAAATATGAAACAACTAAATTTCGACATTAAGGTGTCGAATATATGTCCATAAATTCGACACCTTAATGTCGAAATTTAGTAAATTTTGGACTAATTTGCTAACAGTTAAATTTCGACACTAAGGTGTCGGTTTTTTACTCCAAAATCGACATCTAAATGTCGATTTTTACCTACAAAATTCGACATGTACATGTCGAAATATGAAAAAACTAAATTTCGACATTAAGGTGTCGAGTATATGTCCTTAAATTCGACACCTTAATGTCGAAATTTAGTATATTTGGACTAATTTACTAACAATTAAATTTCGACACTAAGGTGTCGATTTTGTACTAAAAAATCAACATCTCAATGTCGATTTTTGCCTATAAAATTCGACATGTACATGTCGACTGCGTCTGCGCGGAATTTTTTGGAAAAACGACATTCTAGCTAAAAAAAACACATAAATGCATAACTTCTTGGATTATTCCGATCTGTAGATTCTTCTATTTTGATGTCTTATGACTCCATAGTTGCCATCTTTGTAAGATTTGTTGAGTTTTGATGATTTTGAATGTTTAGGTTTTGTGGGTTTATAGATGAGGAAGAAGAAAGGTTTTGATGGAGAAGATGAGAGTTGGTCTTGTGGTTTTGTGATAGGGTTTTTTTTGTTTTTGAATTTTTGGTATTGCACATTTGGAATTTTCTATTTTTTTAACAAGTAAGGGTATTATAGTATTTATACATTGAAAATTTTAATTTGGTCTTGCACAAGTGGAATTAGTCTTGCATATATCCGCAACCTTATTATTTATTTATTTTTTGGAAAAGGTTAGCAACTACATACCAACTACGCCTAAAATTTCAAATTCAACACCATCATTTTTAATTTAGAAATATTGATGGGTATTATTTTTTTCTTTCTCTAATTGGGGACCTATTGTAAATATCATACTCCCCATAATACCTAGCTATTAATTAAAAACATACATATATGTTATTATTTATATATATATATATGTAACAGCAATGAATATAATTTATTTTGCTGTTATTTGTAGTTTCAGTATCCGTAAAAAATCTTGAAATGTTGTACGTACAAGTTATTTGGTACCGATTATAAAATCTTGAAATATTGTACGTACATTATATATTTTACAAGTTATTACTAGGACGAAAACCACAATTTAATACAAGAAAAATAAATGGCACTAATTAGTTAATAGTGGCCAGTGGGTTTACAATATATATTGACTGATTAATTAGTACGCGGGCGGTGGTGGTGGTCGGCAATCTTTTAAGTGCAGCGGCGGCGGAAAATACGGCACATGCATGGGCGGACCTGGTGGTGGCGGGCGTGGTGGTGGCGGAGGTGGATAGAGGGGCAGCACTGGGCCTGGCGGCGCTGGAGACTGGTGAATCGATCTACTGAAGCTTGGCGGCGGCGGCCACTGCCGCCTACCTCTAAGCATTCTGTCGTATCTAGGGTTGTTGTTGTTGTTGTTGTTGAGATCTGCCATTGACTGAGTTGGGTCAACATGCATTAGC